TGCTCCTAAACATGTTCTTCAGCTAGTACATAGCATTATGCAGATCATCTCAAGATTTTGAGACAGCAACTGCACCTTCGACCTGAACCAACAAGGAGATTGAAACCATGTTTTTTTTTTAAGTAGCATTTTCTACTTTTTAAAGCACAGCCTTTGGGAGTTACGCAAGTGCCTAATACCTCAGCCAAGTTAGAGACTTGTGCTGAAAACATCATCATGAAGAAACAGAGAGGTCCAATTGTTTCATGTTCAAGAACCGGTCTTAGCAACATAATGGGCTCAAGAACCTCTCTGTTCGATTAGCTTACTCTTAGCAATTGTACCTCTCTGTTCGATTATCCCAAATTTCTCCATCTTAAAGCGATTTCTTAAGAGTCTTTTGAGTAGATTGTTTATGTTCCCTGTTTTTTCAACTGGTTTCCATTTTGAATAAATAAACTATTGTTCCAACTTTTTGATCGGGTTAAATTTCAACAGCTAATTTGTAGCGTTCAACAACTTATTGTTTATCCTAGCGTGCCTATGATAAACTGTGGATTATTTTCACTTACCAAAAAATATTTTTTGCGAGGTTTTGATTGGGATGTTTACATAAGTCATTGCACATCAAAATCGATTTAATCTTTCAACTTTACGGGCTTAATCTAATCAGGTTCCAAGTTATAAGAACCGAAACCTTCAGATTCGAGAGAGAGAGAGGGAGAAAGATTAAGCGATACCTGGCACGTGACAAGCTGAAAAACTAGGCAACAAGGATCGAGAGTTAAACACAGAGTTTCACCTAAACATAATGGCCTAATGGGCTTAAGACCCGGTCTTAGCAAACTTGGGCCTATGGCCTAGCCCGACACAAACTAAAAAGTACCCCTTTTCTGGCTATTTATTTTTTGCTCTTTCGAAAAGCACCTTTTATGTTAGGCAGATAAAGAATAACCAGACGGTCTCAATGGTACTAGAAAATGTTTACAACCAGAGGAGGTTGAAAGATAACAACTATGCGTCACTTACACATCACGTCATAAAATTGAAAATATGATTACATATTTATTTTTGAGTTGGTGAGATCGGAGTTACTACAATACAACTTTTTAAAAAATTGGTATGGGGAACAGAGAAAGACAGGAGCTGGCTGGCTCGTAGATCTAAACCAACCATGAGCCAACCTTTCTTTCTCTTGCTAATTAGAAATTGACATTCCTTCCTACATAGTTTTACTCGAGTATACTACTATTTCCTTAAACGTAAAATACAAAAACTAACTCGTGCTCATATAAAATGTGTTGTAAGAATAACTATCAACGCGTATCGAGAAAAGTAACACTTTCGAACTTCCCTTTTTTTTTACTAATAACAAATTTTGATAGTTACATTACATCCATCTCAATGTTTTTTTTTAAAAAAAAAAATAAATCAAAATCTATATAATATTTTGGATTATTACGAATTTTCATAACTTTTTTTTTATTATTATCTTTGCTAAAATAATCATCTTTTTATATTGCATCTCCAAGACTCCAACAACCATGGCATCATGCATATGCCTCTATTGCTTACATCCTACATCCGCACCTCATTTCAGCCACAAATCTCAAGAGTTTACTATTTTCGTAAACGAGCTTCAGTGATTAATATATTTTTGTTGTTTTATGAATTATTGTGATTTAAATTGGTTTATATATTTTTGAGTTTGGTTGTCTAGTTCAGATTTTTATGTATTAAAATAGGAAAAAAAATAGAGTAGGATATGTTTTTGACCATTCACCACGCAGAAATAGGATATGTTTCACAATGTTGCAATGTATACCTTTTTTTGAAAAAAAAATTTTGATGTTGAATACTTATATTATCAATCAATTAAAGCCATCGCGTTAGTTAGCCATGAATACTTTTGGGATGAAATTGTAAATCTTAAAAGTTTGTAGGGGGAAAAAAGTAGAGAAAGGAGGGCACATGAGAGAGTTGTGTATTGTGTAAATCCCAAAAGTACGCCAGAAAGCTTCTCTCCCATCCCATGTGCTCCCTCTCCCCAGTCCCCACTTTTCTCCTTTTCTGATTAAATATTAATATTATCTCATTTCTATTTCATCTTTTTTTTTTGTCGGCTTTTAATTTCTTACAACACTTTTGTTTTTTAATTCTGTAATCAGTATCACACTTTTTAGGCCGGTTTTGACTGGGTTTCACACTTACAATAATACTCCCGATTCCTCGAACTATAATTATTTAGTCGAGATTTTTGTAAACTATTTTTTCAAGCATAAGCAATTTCTAAACAAATTGAACCACTTGCTAAGAAGATTATAATTTTCATTCATATATTTTATAGTGTAATTTTTTCCTACATATAAAGTTTACTGAACTTTATTTCTAAAGCTATATCTTTTACTTCTTCTTTTCTAATACTGTAGAATACATAGATATTAAAAATATATTATAAAAAACAAATTCGTTTGCCTAAAGGGTCCACGTATATATTTACTATTTAGACACTCGTCTATTGCCTAACGCTTTTGAAAATACTAAGGTAATTGTAAATTTGTAATAATAATATAAAATTCAGAATATTGCGTCAATATCAACTTGATGACAACTCGTAAGTCTCCAATCTCAATGATTTTTATGTGGTCATTCTCCATACTTCTATAAAACACTAAGAAAACTCGCTCTTACGATTACTTATATTGGTGGCTCTTTACCTGTATTCACTAGTTAATGGTCTAATTACCATACTCTTGTAATTCTTTTTTGATATAATGTGCCAAGCCAGATTCTCAATCACGTGCGAAATTCCTTCAAACAGTTTAGCTGGTTTGCCATCAATTAATTACGAAGTTTTCATTTCCTTGAATTCAAACTTATTTGTATATATCTTAACATTTTTACCAAAGAAACTTATTTGTATATATGCCTGACGTAGTTTAAATAATCTATGTATATCTCATTCAAAATTTCAATGTTGTGTTTGCCTTAAAGGCTCGCATGGATAACGTGAGTAAGACCATCGATAAATTTTTGAAGAGACGTATTAAACGAAACATGCATGAGACTTTGAATGTTTATATTTTGAGTAGTAGAAACAGGTAACTATCAAAAAGGAAAAAAAGGAAAAAAAGGAAAAAAAACAAAAAAAAAAAACAGGTAGTGATCGATGCAACAGTTGAAAATGTTTGTCCATGCATATGTGAAAAGTATTAGTTTAAACATGACTAATTTTTTATTTTACTGTTTAAATATGTAGTATCTTCTGAACAAAGATAAACAAAAATTACAAATTGTCGGCAAGAGGTATTAAGTATACATCTAAGGTTATATTCAAAACAGTTGTGCTAGTTATTACCATAAATCTAATTGAAAACGACACATCATGTGTTTTGATAAAAACGGTGAGTTAGGACTCTTAATTAAACTGTACTCAGCAACAATAATTGTAATGTAGAAAATCAAAACAAACACATCTCCTCTGAATAGTAACCTTGTTTATCTTAATTATGTTGTATTCATTATTCAAGAAGTTTTTGTCATAATTAAAATTCGAGTCCCATCGGTACTGGAATATATCATGTCCCACTAAATTCGATACAAACATTTTTTTGATATCGAATTATCTTTATAATTGTTTTTGTTGGATCTTTTTATGTTTACAGATCACGGGATTACAATAAAAAGGTGGACGTGACACTTATTTTTTCTACGTTGCTCGTTATCTCTAATTTTATGCCTATGTATGCAATTTGGACAATACCACTAAGATTCTCCAAAATCGAGTTATAAGTATTCTTAACATAAAATCAAAAGACATGGATAACTTCAAATGATGCCTATCTACCATGTCAATAGCAATCAATAGGAATTTATTGATTTTTCTACTGTATACACTTTATTCCTATCCTAAGATGTGTATGTTAGATATTTAGATCTAAGAATTTTTGGTAAACCAGTATTCAACTCGAAATCAAAATAATCTGGGCATAATAACAATTAACAACAAACTAGGAATATGAAAACAGATTATAATTTTAATGGGTCATGAATTTCAGACAATCACTATAAAAAAAATCATAATCCATTGGAGGTAGTTAAAAATTCCCAAGATTACCGTATTTGAGTTTTTTGTTTTTGTTTTGTTACTATAAACAACCCGACACTTACAAACTAGTACAAAAGATGTAATGCAAGAATATTGTTTGACAAATTTCAACAACGTAATTATGAAAAGTTTTAGCTAATTCACAAAATTTTGTAGAGATAGGTTAAAACTTTAACAACTTTACTTAGTAAGAAAAAGACTACGACTTTTCAAAAATGCATAATTTAAAGAAGAAAAGATTCCTCTCGTCTCTTCCTTTGTTCACATCCCTTTCCTCTTTCTCCATCTTTTAATTCTTTATTAGTATAACCAATCAATTATTTTACTCCCTCTCAATGCTGTCAAAAAACTATACATATTTTATTTATTGAAATCACAATGCAGACGGCGCAATTTTCAGCACCGCTCTCTAATTGATCCATTGTTCTTGTTCAAAATCCATGATTATTTTGTTGACAATGTAAGACCTCAAAATATTGTTTGTTCTATTGGTCTCAAGTCTCAACATATTAAAAAATTTAAAACCTGTTCTTGCGCAGATTAAAAAAATATTTTGAATATCCTTGTTTTTTTGGTGAGTTGTTATTAATGAATTTTTTTTTCCTTTTTTTTGCTCTTATAAGTAGGTAAATGAAGCTATGAAGTAATAAATAATCATTAGAAATACAAAAATATAAAGAAGGAAAATTATTAGTACTAATATCCAAATGAAGAATAAATTCGTTCAGATTTAATTTGAGAAACAGTTCATTCACTGCGTTAAAAGATACTAGAAGATGATTAATTGCTAACAACAATATTTGTCCCAAATCAATGCATGATTCAATTTTATTTTGTTTTCACCTCGAGTTTTGCTGAAAATAAAGCTGCTTTTTCTCCCTCTGTCTCTCTCTCTGTGTATGTGTGGCTTTACCTTTTGTACCTAAACCTCACACACACAAACACACACACTCTCTCTCTCTCTATCGCTCGCTGTTACTACTCGTTTTCCTTTTCCTCTCTTTCGTCTTCTTCCCATTTCTCCCAGAAGCTGCAGAGATTAGCAAATCATGGCGGGTGGTGGAGCTCCAGCACCCAAAGCTGACGAACCTCAACCACATCCTCCCAAAGATCAGCTTCCCAACATTTCTTACTGCATCACCAGTCCTCCTCCTTGGCGTGAGATTCTACTTTCACACACCCCTCTTTATTTTCCGTTTCTTCCAGATTCCATGTTTGAAAGCTCGAGATTTTTTTCTGGGTTTGTGGCTTTATCTGTCGGTGTGTTAGGTTTTATTCTTCTGAAGAATGTGCAGCGTTTACTTGTTTGATCTTCGTTCCTAGTGTGCTTTAAGTACGAGATTTTTGTTTTATTGATTTTCTTTTGCATCTGTGGCAAAATCTGTTGTTTCTTTGTTTGATAGTTATCTCCAGTGTTCAAAATGTTGGAATAGACATGTTTTTGCCGTAAAATTGGTTTCTGGTTTGGAGGATTTAACCCCAAATCGCATCTGTTCTCACAATATTGGTCTTTGTTTTTAGTGTTTGTATCAGTTTCTGTTTTCGATTGAGTCGATTTGGAATTGTGCGATGGCCACAAGAGGCTAACTTATGTATCTGGCATTTCTTATGTTTCAGCTGAAGCTATTCTTCTTGGGTTTCAACATTACCTTGTGATGCTTGGCACAACAGTCCTCATACCTACTGCTCTTGTTCCCCAGATGGGAGGTGGATATGTAAGAGCCCCTCTACTAAGAGTTTAACTTATACTCATTAACGAGGAAGACGAATGAAATGGTGTCACTGTCAGTGACTGAAACGGGTTTTGCTTTTCTAAATTTCAGGAAGAGAAGGCAAAGGTGATCCAGACTATTCTCTTTGTTTCCGGTATCAACACATTGCTCCAAACACTCTTCGGGACTAGACTGCCTGCTGTAATTGGAGCGTCCTACACTTTTATACCAACGACAATATCCATTATCCTCTCAGGCAGATTCAGTGATACCTCAAACCCTATAGATGTATGATGGCTTCCTGTTTTTTCATCATTTTAATGTGGATTATATGAATCTTTCTTGGTGCTATTATAACTACAAAATGTTTTAAAATTGCTTTGTTCAGCGCTTTGAAAGGATAATGCGGGCAACCCAGGGCGCCTTGATTGTTGCTTCAACTCTACAGATGATTCTTGGTTTCAGTGGCCTCTGGCGTAATGTTGTTAGGTTAGTCTGGAAGAGGATTTAGTCTCAAACATTCGTCTTCCTTACACAATATTAGATACTCTAGACGCGTTTTCGGTGCTATGATGCGATGTAACTTTCCTTTTGTATTTCTTTTTCAGGTTCTTAAGTCCTATTTCAGCTGTTCCGCTGGTGGGTCTCGTTGGATTTGGGCTATACGAGTTTGGTTTCCCGGGGGTAAGTCTACTCTAGATGCAAGTAAAAAACAAAAAATATCAAACAATATAAATGTGCACTTACGAGTTGTTAATTTCCCTATTACATTTCAGGTTGCTAAATGCATAGAGATTGGGCTGCCTGAGCTGCTTATTCTAGTATTTGTTTCGCAGGTAATATTTAACACACTAAATCTGTCTAATTCCAAAATAACGTTTAGATAATTGTGTTTATGATCGCCTGATTTCATGTTCTGATGTTTCCTGTTGCAGTACCTGCCTCATGTGATCAAATCAGGGAAAAATGTGTTTGACCGGTTTGCTGTAATATTTGCGGTGGTGATTGTATGGATCTATGCTCACCTTCTTACAGTTGGTGGGGCTTACAATGGTGCTGCACCAACTACACAAACAAGTTGCAGGACTGATCGTGCTGGCATCATAGGTGCTGCCCCATGGTAAGTGGTTACAACTCAGCTGTAAATAAATATGTGGCTGCAACTCCCGAAATAACATTTGCAGTTTAAGCAGAATAACAGAGTATGAAGAATCATAGTATCCAAAAGAGAAATGTGATTTAAAATAAAGTGATCTTCATTGTGCTTGTTGTTAAGTTAGGCTTTTTTTGTCCTTTCAGGATAAGAGTTCCATGGCCTTTCCAGTGGGGTGCCCCTTCGTTTGATGCTGGAGAAGCTTTTGCAATGATGATGGCTTCCTTTGTTGCTCTAGTTGAGGTATGTGACTATATTCTTAATCTCTTGAGATAGTTTGATCATGATATGTTATTCTGTTTATTCATTTTGATTTCTTGTTTCTTTCGTGTCTGGCTGATCTTTAAAGTCAACCGGTGGTTTTATCGCTGTCTCAAGATATGCAAGTGCGACGATGTTGCCACCTTCTATTCTCAGCCGTGGTATTGGCTGGCAGGTAACTTGGCCACATTTGAGCTTTTAATGCTGCGGAATAAATACTTGACTGGTTTCTGAGCTGATAATGTTTTGTTTTGTGGATCAGGGAGTTGCGATTCTGATATCCGGGTTGTTTGGTACTGGTGCTGGATCCTCTGTCTCTATGTAAGCATCTCTGAGATGATGCATGTACTGATTTGATTATTTTCTCCAGATGTTTCGGTATTGAAAGTTGGTTTTCTATCTTTCGTGCAGAGAAAATGCTGGACTATTAGCCTTGACAAGAGTTGGTAGTCGAAGGGTTGTCCAGATAGCTGCAGGCTTCATGATCTTCTTCTCTATTCTCGGTAAGTTTAAGTTCAAATCTATTTTTAGCTGGTAGGTGAAAAAGCTTTTGTTTGAATTTTATCTTTACTGATAATCCATCATGTTAATGCAGGAAAATTTGGAGCTGTGTTCGCGTCAATTCCTGCACCTATAATTGCTGCTTTATACTGTCTCTTCTTCGCCTACGTTGGAGCTGGAGGTTTGAGTTTTCTTCAGTTCTGCAACTTGAACAGCTTCAGGACTAAGTTCATCTTAGGCTTCTCTGTCTTCCTGGGCTTGTCAATCCCTCAATACTTCAATGAGTACACCGCAATCAAAGGCTATGGTCCGGTCCACACAGGCGCTCGTTGGGTATGTAGTAACAAACTCACTAGTTTTTATATATTTCTTCTTTTCCCATGGAAATGGGGTTTTGGTAGAATGATCTGATAAGGCCTAAAACTCCAACCGTTTGATCATATAACACGGAAAAAACAAAAATCGACTTTAGGAGGAACCAAAAGACTAGAGAATTGCCTGAACTAATGAAACTCTTATTCTCTTACATATTTGACAGTTCAACGATATGGTGAATGTCCCGTTCTCCTCGGAACCTTTTGTTGCTGGCTCCGTAGCCTTCTTCTTGGATAACACATTGCACAAGAAAGACTCTTCGATAAGGAAAGACCGAGGAAAGCATTGGTGGGACAAGTTTAGATCTTTCAAAGGTGACACAAGAAGTGAAGAATTCTACTCTCTTCCTTTCAATCTCAACAAGTATTTCCCTTCTGTCTAAATGGGAAGAGAGAGAGAGAAGACCAAAGAGTTTACCAGAAACAAAGAAAATGGTGAAAACTGAGAGTTTCGCCATTGTTACCTTGAGCTTTTTAACCTCTGTGTCTTGGTTCTTTTGTTCTGTTCCTTTCCACAACTCTGGAAACTTTAAATATCTCTCACTTTCTATAGTCTTATTTACAAGAATGATCATGAATTTAAGGGCATTGTTGTTTACTCTCTCTAATGCTTTTGTCTTTGTAAATCCAAGGGTACACAACTTTGAGATTTTTATTAGTATCTAAACAAGTCTTTAGTTTGATTTTGTACTGGTCTCCTTCTCACTCAAAACTCAAAAGTCTGATTGATTATGTCGAAAACTTAAAAAAAGATTACCATGATTCTATGAAAATAATTTGTTTGAAAATTGGATTAAGGTTTTAATGATTGTTTCTTAAATCAGTTTTGAAAGGGCAAACAATACGAATATATATATATATATATATATATATTTTTTTTTAAATTAAGACTTGGGATCATTTGACTGGATGAACCCAACAATATTGAGTATTGACATCTGAAGACACTAATAATGTTTGTACACTACTAAAATTTATAGTTACTTAATTGTGTTTTTTTCTTATCAACTACTTGTCATTCACTCAATTAGTCATATAATACGTTTTCTTTTTAACAAATGGGTCATATACGAGAGAGTGGCCTTTCAATATTGCGTGAGGTTTTTGTTCTCTGTTCAATAAAATATATTGAGACATTAAGCCAACTTTCGTTTGTTATCCTAATTAGTGGACAACAAAATTTAAGATCGCTTAGTTTTGTAAGGCTGATCAATTCATTACATAATTAAGAAACTATTATCAATAGTTAACGCTCAATACGACACTGGCTTTCAGGAGATCGAGATAAAGTGTACAGTAAGCATGTGAATAGGGTTGATTGCACGAGGGGAATATAATTACTTCATTTTTGGCTGTCATTTTCTCATTTAATCTCACAACCTCATCATTGCATTTTAAAAAAAAAATTATAAAGTTGCTTTATTTAGTTGACAAAACAAATTTTCTTTTGAGTTAAGCGGATTAATATTAATTTCCGAGCTTCTTTTTCCTTTTACTTCAAACTTATTCATTGGTTCTAAATCGAGTTTTAAAGGATATCCTACATAACCATCAACATAAAATAAATTACATAATCATATATAAGAAATGATATAATGATTGAAGCCATATAACAATATTTTTAGTCATATTTTAAATTGTGGTCCAATGGTTTATGAATACTTTAAGCTTTTAGATGTATCTCTAGAGACTTCTAAGAGAAAGATAAAAGATAAGAGAAAGATAAGAGCAAAACACACTATATTTATTCTTTATATCTAAAATATATAGATAGTGATTAATTTCGATGGTTATGAAATAGTGTACTGTTAGTTTCGTCAGATCATAGGTTGAACTTAGGCTAAATGAGGAGCAAATACAAGAAATCGAAATGGTTAATAGATTCGTAGTATCAAAAGCCTTAAAGAGTTCATCGATCGGGAATCTACTTTCCGTGAAGATTCCAGCCAAGCAAGCACTTGCCTCTGTACGGACAGTCAAAAATAAACAATTGAGCAATTACGAAGTTTATTCCATTTCTCTACTTTGTTTAGCTCTATTACTCCATTTATAACTTTTTGTATTCGATTATTATTTTTTTCCCTTACTAATTAGACTCTTCTATCTCCTATTCCTGATTTTTTTTCTTAATTAGACTCTATATATATATATGAAAGAGACATCTAGAAAATAATCAATCATTCAATAAAATTATTCAAAAATACATATGCAAAAAATAACTTTCGTTCCACGGATTTTTTAGTTGCGTTAAACTTCTACCACTTATAATTAGTAGTTGACAAAATGAAAGGTAATATGAAAAGTTATTATTACTCGTAAATATTTTTTTTTTGAAAAAAAGTTATCTAACAGTAAAATGGTCTTGAGTATATATTAAGAAAGAAGCTATTCTACCAAATATAGAACCCCCCAACCACGATTACTCTCTCACTCCTCTATCCTACTTTCTCCGCCGTGGAATGGGGAACTGTCAGGCGGCGGAGACAGCAATGACCGTGATACAACGACCAGACGGCAAGTCGGAGAGATTTTACTGTACAGTAAGCGCGAGCGATGTGATAAAGTCTCATCCCGGCCACCACGTCGCTCTCCTCCTCTCCTCCGCCGTACCTCACGGCGGCACTCTCCGCGTCACACGTATCAAACTCCTCCGTCCTTCCGATAATCTCTTGCTTGGTCATGTCTATAGGCTCATTTCTTCCCAAGGTATATATATTATCACTCACTCTCCTGAAATATCACATAGAACATGAATTGATTTTAAAATCGGGGAAGACAAAAACCCTATAATTGTTCTGCTTGACTTTTGACTATGATCATCATAGATGAAGTCATAATTTGTGTGTGTGTGTGTGTGTGTTTTTTTTTTTTTGGATTAACAGAGGTGATGAAAGGATTAAAAGCCAAGAAATCTGAAAAGAAGAAGAAGATCCATGGAGAGTTTTCTGTAGCAGATGAGGACATTAACCCACTAACCATAAGATCTGAATCTGCTTATGACAAAGACTCTCAGGTAATTAATAATAATATACATAGATCCATACGTACCAAAATTTCAGTTTTGGTTCTCTCACTGAAACAATCGAGTAAGATGCTACAAGGAATAACAAGCACATGAATTCTATGAATTCTGAAATTGATTCATGAAAAGATATTTGATTAGATCATAACGTTTGATTAACAGACAAGGATACATGAAAAGCAGAGCGGGGTGAACACAGGAGCTACCAACAAAGTAAGAGCTTGGCAGCCTTCTCTTCAAAGCATTTCAGAATCTACAAGCTAAAACTTCAATTTTTTTTTTCTTTTTTTTTTTTACTTTGACTTTTTTGATGATTTGATTTGTCTTTGTATTTGTTGTTTTTCCCAATCAAATTGTAAAGGAAGAAAAGAAAACCATTTGATTGTGGCATAAGAAGCTATTGTGTGTTTCTTTTAACTTAATAATAACCGATGAAGATCCAAAGGACTTAAAAAAAAAAAAAAAAACTATCTGATTTTTCTCTTCACAATTTTATGCAGTAACTATATCATTTGTTAAGCTTACAACATTTACGTATTATCTATCATACACGTGTTAAAAAAATCGAATTATGTTGACCAAAAAACACTTTATTCACATACTAAAACTAGTTTTTCAACGTTGTATAATTTAACTATCTTACTGTTTGACCGGTATTGTATATTTTAACTATTTTACTGTTTGACCAAACATATAGTACCATCATTGAGATGCCAACCAAAATCTGGGGAAAAAACTGATATAAAAAGCAATACGCATCTCACAAAATATCAACAACCATGACCAGTGACCAAAAAAATTGTTTATGAAGAAGAAAGAAGAAAGAATCATAAGAGAGCTTTTTCACTCACAAAGTCGCAAAGGTTACAAGTTACAACTTACAAGATAAGAGAGCTTTATCTTAACATCTTACCAAAAAAAAAAAGTTACAGCTTACAAGTTTACAATTGTGTGCAACTCCAAGAAATATATTAAAAAAAAGATCTTTTGAGAACACTAAAAGGTTTGATCAAAAAAAAAAAAAAAAGAGAACACTAAAAGGTAAGAATAAATATTTTCTCAATATTTAGCCTCTTCTATACGACATACGACATCGTTTTTCTCACACGTGCGCGCTCACCGACTTACAGAAGAGCCCACACGTTGGAGCTTCTGTTAATATCAAAAGTTAGGGGTAATTTAGTCATTTTCGTATAGACGAGGTTTCTGAGCGGAGAATAGGAGTTTCCGTTATCCTTTATATTATCTCTCTTTCTTCGATTTAATTAATTAACAAACAAAATAAAAATAAAATAAAATCTCACGTTTCTTCTCTCTCTCGAGCCTCAAGCGACAAATCTAATTAGGGTTTTTGAGAATCTTCATCTTAATTTCAATTCTTCAATCTTATTCCACTGTGTTTTGCTCGTCAGGATCATCCGCAAACCATGATTTCAGATTCGATCACCAACGCTTCTGCTACTGCAGCCCCTAGCGCGAGGGATTCCGGAAAGAAGAAAAGGGTAAGTTTTTTCTTCAAATCTCCTCCATTTCTCCTTAAATCTCATCGCTTTCTCTGAAATTGATCAGCTTTCCGTTCATCTCATATCTTCTCCCTGATTCATAGTTTGGTTTTGTTATTGCATTGCGTTTGCAGAACAATAAGTCGGCTAAGATGAAGCAGAACAAGCTCGGTCTCCGCCGTGAGCAATGGCTTTCTCAAGGTATGATATTAAAAACTTCATCTTTCCCGTTTTCTATATATGTTTTCAATTGTGTGTGTGTGTCCACTTGCCTTTTTCGTTTGGTTAGATATTGATTCTAGATTTTTTTTTAATTTCACTATTAGTTGCGGTGACGGATAAGGGTTGTAAGGAGAAGAGGAGTGTTAATCGCAGTGAGAAACCTAATCAGAGAGATAACCCAGTGGAGAATTTAGATGGGCTGCGTAGAGAAGAGGATAATAACGGTGGTAATCATCACCATCACAGCTTTATGGAGTCGCCTTCAAATAGCTCCATGGGAGGTACAGATATGAGCACTAATTTCAGTGGGAGAAGCAGCAGGAGTAGCAGTAGCAGCAGTGGGTTTTGCTCTGGTAACATAACAGAAGAAGAAAATGCAGATGATGATGATGATGATGATGGGTGTGTGGATGATTGGGAAGCTGTTGCTGATGCATTAGCGGCTGAGGAAGAGAATCAGAAAGAGAAACTCCTCCGTGAGTCTGTCAAAGAGCAAGAGAGTGTTGGACAATCAGCTTCTAATGTGGGTGAGTCGATCAGTGATGCATCAGATGTGGGTGTTAAAGATGCAAAGCAAGATTGCTTGAGAATGCCATCAAGGAAGCAAAAGAGTAATCGAGCTTGGAGGCCAGACGATGACCTACGCCCTCAGGGTCTACCTAATCTGGCGAAGCAGCTTAGTTTTCCTGAGTTGGACAAGCGTTTTAGCTCTGTGGCCATTCCGTCTTCATGTCCCATATGCTATGAAGATTTGGACTTGACGGATTCGAATTTTCTTCCTTGTCCTTGCGGATTCAGGCTCTGTCTTTTCTGCCACAAGACGATTTGCGATGAGGATGGGCGTTGTCCAGGTTGCAGGAAACCATATGATCGGAATGCCATCAAGGCTGAGACTAGTGTTCAAGGTGGTGGTCTAACAATCCGGTTGGCTCGTTCGTCTAGCATGTTTTGCAGGTTTTAAAAAGCAGAGGTTTGGTTTTCGCAAACCGTTGGTGTCTGTTCGATTTCTCTGTTTCCTTCACCTCATTTTGCATCAGTATTGGAACTCTCTCTCTGGTTATTTCTAGCTTAGATAATGTGGGTATAGTGTTGCCTTTTGGCACTCAAGAACTTGAGCTTTGTTTTCTATGTCATCGATGTTTCTAAGTCTAAAACATTGTGGTGATGGTGATGTAGAGTGTTGTGTGAATACATAAAAGGTGGTACAGAAAATTCAAATACATAAAAAGAGTTTCAATAAATGCTATTTTCTCATTTCAAATGCAATATCTATAATTTTTAAGGTGTGTGGTCTTCTTGCATTTATCTCTTGAGAAACACCTCTGAAGGATTAAGAGTTTTTTTTTGTTTACGATCACCAAAAATGAATTCTCATTATTTGTTTTCTGGGCTTCTACTTTGAGTTAATTTGGCTATAATTCATCGGCATTTATTGTTGCTCACATAAAGTGAGGTGTCATACCAACTTCGACAAAGTGATAAAACCAGCTTACAGTCTCTCTTGTAAGGAAAAAAACTATGATCTCCTAAAGAATTATATATTAGCTTTGTTTTTACTCTACCATTTACATTACTACCATGTAATAAAACCCCTCTTACTTTGTCCCCACTGATTTCACTCAGCAAAAAAAAAATGCCACGAGGGCTGAAAAAATTGTACTTTTAGGTAATTAAGCTGGAGAGAATCATCAGTGAGGCTCAAGTGCTTTGAGTCTATAAGCTTTCTGCTATTGAAGGAATTTCCATCGGGAAGCTCAGATCTTTGGGCGTTTGAGCTGCGAGTGAACAGATGAATCCAAAGAGTAGACATTCTCTGTTTCTAGCTCTCTCTTCTTAATACTCTTTGTGGAAGATAAATTTTCAACTTTGATTAGAGAATCTCTTAATCTTCTTACATCCGAGAGCTTTACCGGCTTTAATAAGAAATCTTCAGCACCTTCTTCAAGACATCTGAATGGTAAAAAATATATCACAAGAAGAATATTAATTCCAGTAAACACCAATTCCAGTAAAGTTGGAACTTTTAGATAAATAAGTTTATGTGCAGATCTGTTTAGTTGTTTATGTAGCAAACAAGCATAAGATGGCCAGGTCATAAGATTGAGTTTTACACAAAAACATATTCTCTTAATTTGGTCCAGAGGTTTTCCGATCCGAGTAAGCAAAGTGAAAAAGCATGTGAGGTGGCTTTCACAAAACCCTACCAAATATTAGGCAAGCAAAGATCATATAATTATTTTATTGTAATGTATCACAATCACCAGAAACAGAATCAAATCCCAAAGTGGAGATTTTGCTGGTTAGAAACATCTTTATTCACAAAATCATCTTGGGACCTACTAAAGATCATCAAATCTCAAACTTTGATTAATTATGCAATCACCACCACCAAGATTACCACTGATGGTTAAAAAAAAGAAATTAAATTAATAATAGTACTGCTGTGCTGATCCAAATCTGATGATCACATAATGATCAATCCAATAGATAATATTCAAGACTTCTGAACTAATATGCTCACCAAATTCTACTCTATTTTTTTGGGGACTAAAGATAGAGATAATTAAGATGATGAAAATATACCTATCAATACGAGGCAAAATGTTCTCGGAGGACATTACCACCACCGGTATGTCTTTGAAAGCTGAGGATTCCTGTGGAAATTTTCCAAGAAAAAAATAAACAAGATTAGATCAGCCTAATATTTGAATTTACCTCACAATTTGATTGACTAATCGAATCAATGAAACTTAATGTTAGCTTACTTTGATCTTCTTCAAGAGTTCATATCCAGTCATACCGGGCATCGAGTAATCCGTCATAATTAGGTTAACCTTCAAATCCTGAAAAACCGACAAAGCAAATCACCATTAACAGTCTGCTTGAGAGCTCAAAAAAATTCATATCAAAACTCTCTCGGAAAAAAATTGATACTTTACCTCAAGACCAACGGTTTTTTCATCTACATCCAATCCGAGATATTGCAGAGCTCTTGTCGCACTATCAACAACAGTAACTGGAAAAACAACAAATTTCAGGTAAAAATGAGATTTTTATTCAGCTTATCTCTGAATTCGAAATCTTTTTTTTTTGTTTGAAAAGTTTAGTTGGTGAAAATTACCTTTGCAGGAAGAGACTCTGAGCAAGCGCTCGATGAACTTCCGATCGACGTGACTATCGTCGACGGCGAGGACATGAAGAAGATGCGGCGATCCAAACTTGGAAGGATCGTTGGCGATCTCAATCTTCCTCGGCAGCAAAACCTCAGCCATTAGATTGAGAGAGGAGATAAATGTTCTTCTAATCAAAGTCGGATGATTTTGGAAGAAAATTGAAAAAGATATGATGTGGAGAAATGGAGATTGGGTGTTGTTTATATAAGTAGAAAGACACAAAAAAAAGAGGGAACACACGAAATCGAGAGATTTTGCATATCTTTAAGATTTTGCCAATTTGCTTTTTAATTATTTTTTATTTTCTTGGTCAACTAGCTCCGTAAATTTAATCAAATTTAGTTTCTAAACTGGATCAGTTAAGGGATACTCTAACGTTAACCATAGAGCTCGCAGTTCTGATTATTTCTTTGGACCTTTGACAGTAAAAATATATAAACAGGATTTTTTAACACGATCACTTGTAATATTATTATTATTATTTTTTTTTAGGTTAGGTATCGTCTCAAGTACAAATAAAGTCTTGAAGAAGACAACATTACACATTACACCAAACCAAGCAAAGATATAACAAATCAAAGGAAATCTGTTCATATATGAAATCTGTTCATATATGAAATCGCGGATGATCGATCGATCGATGTTATAAGCAACGATCTTGGAAAGCCTTTGATGGGTTTTCACCGTCGATCTCCGAATGGTGAGGGAAATCAAACGGCATTTCTTCAGGAGAGAGCCAAGCTTCTCTAAACACTCGAGAAACTTCTTCATAAACTACTCCATTGCCTTGAGGCGTGAGATGAAGTCCATCACTGTTTAAGTCAACAACAAATCAGCAAGAAAAAAATGATTCAGGAGATGAGTGTTTTTGAGAAGCAATGGCAATGAGATTCGCACCTTAGGTACTTTTTCTGCCAATCATTGGTTTCCTGCATTTTGGACCAAAGGTTGACACATCGCAGACCGAGTTCCTCAGCTAATGCAACACAATGCTGTGCGTAGATTCCTGTGGTTTCGTTTGTTCTTTCAGGCTCTTTCATAGCCTTTTCACCATAGATTGATCTGATGTAGCACAACCATTGATTCAGTTTCCAAGATGTGTTGGACTATTATAAATGGTTGAGTAACAAAAAAAAACTTTTAACAAAGATAGAGATGAAAAAAAAAAGAAACCTACTCTGCATAACTTTGCCGTCCAGCTTCATCGACTGGTGGTGGAGTTACAAGCACAATTAGCATGGTAGGTGAACATTTCTGCAAACAGAAACAAATTTATCTACCGGGAATTGAAATACCTAAGATCATGCTAAACTGCAACAAACATTAAATAAATTGAAGGAAGACATTTGCTAGAAAAACCAATGTACACATGAGGAGGAGATAATCAATGAAGAAACACCTTTAAATGCAGAACCATTTTTCTGATGTTATCTTTGTACTCTTCAACAGGCACATGCTGCCTATCACTCGTCCTTCCTTTAAGAGCTGCATCGTTTGCACCGAAAAATATCGTCGTAGCAACAGGAGAAGTTGAAGATCCCTAAAATCAAAGGAGGAAGTGGGAAAAAATACACACACTGAGACTTGGGCACCAAAAACAGCTACATCGAGATAAGAGTAGTCAAATCTCTTTAAAGGTAAATTGTTTTTCTAGACCATCTCAAATCTTAAATCTTTCCTACTTGAATAAGATAACATGTTCTGAAATGCATTCAAGGAATTGAGAAAATTCACAAGTAAGCCAGTGATTATGTTTAAAATGAACTGCAGATCATGAACAAATTTATCCCTCCTGGGTACCAATCGACGTGCAGATCAAGTTTCAATTCAACATTATACACCCACACATCTAGCTAGAATCACTCAGTCCCAATAATGAAAATTTTGATTCGAGAGAGAGAGAGAAATCTGACGAGAGGGAAAATGTGATGGAGCAAGAAGAGAGCCCATCTGGTGTTGTAGCCGCCATAGCCACGAACCACAACATCAGCCTTGCGAGAGTAAGCGTCGGCGAGAGCAGATCCCCACCCGCCGGATCTGAACGACTGTGCCGTTATTGAATCGCCGAATAGAACTATCTGCGGCCTCATCACTCACCGTCTCCGTTCGTTTCCGTAGCGAGTAACCGTTGACTCTACACAGGCAGGATCGAATGCAGTTAATTTCATTGTTGGGCCGGGTCCGAGCTAGCCCATATAAACCGGACCCTACTGTTTCAACTTGATTCAAGAGGATGGAGAAAAAGATGCTTCACTAACATCATTGTTGGTATTCTTTCTTGGTCAACTAAGTTTGAGAACTGTATCTTTTTACGTGTTATGCGGTCCTGCAATTCATCGGCTCATATGTTAGCTAAAATTGGTCCGTCAAATTTGTCTTTCTTCTCTGGTAGTTTATTTCCACCTAACTGGCTAAAGCCATACTTGTATCAAGACTACATTTCTTCTATTTAATAAAGATACTTTGTTGAAAAAAAAAAAATCTCATGATCACATAATAAAGAGGGCAATGGAAATATTTATTTTAGGGTTAATGGGTTTTTCTTTGGAGTTTTAACAGTATTTTTTACACGATTACTTGTATTATTAAAATTAAAATTTTAGTTTACGTACTGTAGTAATAAAAAAAAGTCTTGAACAAGACATCACTTTACACAAACCAAACATAGATTTTATCAGGGGCGGAGGTCACGTGCCCTTAACTGTTTTTATTTTTTCCTAAATAATTTATATAATTTTCATTAATTTTTTTAAATTTTTTGGTTGAACGAAAAAGTTGTCCCCAACTAATTTTTTTTTCTTATTTATAAAAAAATTATGCTCCAACTAAATTTATTTCTAGATTCGGCCCTGAATTTCATAGAAATCAATGTTCATACATATGAAATCAAATAACGACTTTGGTCTTTTCATTTCTTGAAGCAAAGCTTCTTGTAAAATGTGGTTTGGAAACCGATAACTTACCTTTTAATTTTTGATGGATTCTTATTGATGACTCAGATTCTGATTTCTTCGTTTTTGTGAGCAAAATGATTACTTGTAGAAAAAAGGATTTAGAATAAGATTTTCAGTGTAGATATCTATGGTTTTAAACATTTGATGATTCTAATGAAAAAAATGACTTCAAATTATGGTGTTTTGTCAAATAAAAACTTTATGGTGTTTAAGGATTATGAAAAAGATTGTTCTCTTGAATATCTTCGAAACTCTTCAACAAAACCCTGAAATATAAGAAGATTTTTTTTTGACTTGTGCACAACAATTGAACATAGATTTTTACTTCATTGATCTCATAAAGAAAAACACTATATAAACATTTGGTGGATGCTCCAATTTTGCCTCGGCCAAAGTGAAAGTAATCTCAAATGGCGTTTAAAGATGCTACATGGATTGCATTGTACAAAAAAATCTCAAGGAAGAGCTCCTGCACAAACACTGAAAGACGCTTCATAGAGATCCTTGTGTTTCTTCTTAGGTGGGATATTGCCATTAGTTGCGGATATTATCATCAATAACAAATGGGTCAAAATGGGGGTCACCATATTCCTTACCGCAATGCTTATTAGTTCTGCATTGCATTTTTGAGATATGATTATTAAAATATATATATATATATATAGTTGTTTGTTAGTTATCGTGGTCAACATTCACTTTTTCTTGGTTTTTTTTTTTTTGAGCTCTAACAACAAAAAAATATCCAACTTGAGATGAAAGACGATTTAGAAGTAATTTCAAAGTGTATGATCTTCTTTCAATGTCAATTATTCTCAGTCAAAGACCATATTTTTTTACCTCTTATTTGTAAAATCCATGAATATTCATTATTTTTTTAGAAATTGTATTTTATAGATAAGAGAAAATTAAAGTTTAACATTCTCTTTCCCTTTTTTTTAGAAACTGTATTTTAAACATAGTCTTTTAACATTCACGATATAAATGTCAATTTTAGAAATTGTATTTTAAAAAGATATCCGTTTCTTCTTTTTATCTCTTTCCTTTTTTTTAGGTTTGTTTAACTTAGCCTTCTAATCTCTTAATTTCTCTCTAGAATATAATTCCAATTTGAAAGTGTCTATATCTTCTTTTCAATGACAAATATATTCTCTCAGTTAAAGACTATGTTTTCTTCCTCTTATCGATAAAATCCATGAATAAAAATTTGAAATCTTTGACCCTAGAATAGCAAAAAGAAAAGAATACATCGCGATATATAACCGTGCATCTACATTACTTCATCTCACGTATTTGGAAACTGAACTTAATTGATCTATAGTTTTTGTAATCAGTTTTGAAGTCGTATAGAGCTAAGTTATCAGAAATAGAATATGGGCGCTCTATTTATATATCGAAAAAACATTACACCTCAGTCACACGAACACACACAAAACGATAAATCTCTCCGAATCCCCTAATCAAGATAACTAATTAAGAGTACTCTCGTAATTAGATATCAATTACTAAAGTAAAAGTGGCTAATCATACAAACCCTGAAACCCATATATATAATTTAATTGCTTCTCGATCTACTACTATATTACTAGTTGATGACGACAGGAAAAAAAGTTCTGATGATTAAACCAAGGAGTTTGTTTTAGTGGACGATCCATAGCCATTCATCAACCCATTCCACGACGAACCTAAGCCGTTGATATAACCGCCACCGCCGTATCCACCACCTTCAGATTTTCCTCCGCCTCCGCTGGCGCCACCATCGGAGTAGCCTTGATCTTGTTGCCAATCAAGCGATAACAGCTTTGCATTTGGCTTCACATCCAGTATTGTTGTTACTCTTTGATGATCTTCATTCTTCAAGATGATAATGATTATAATGACGATGATCATAATTAGGTAGCATAAGTCTCTGGCAATTTTGCTTTAAGAGTGTTTTTTTCTCTATGTTATATATAAGAAAAAGGAAAATAGAATGGTGGATAATAGACAATATGATAAAACCCACAGCATGACCCTCATAAAACCTATGTTAACAAAGAAGAACCATATCGTACGTCATGATTATATTCCTATTAGAAATTAATCACCCTCTCTCTAGGTTTTATATAACCATAATTCGTAGCTATATTAAGAAATTCTTAACTAATACAAACACATTGTATTCTCGACATGATCTGTGACAACCGTCACAAAAATATTTCTATACTTGATTTCCGCCGGATCAATATCGTTAATGTCTTCATATCTCATGCTGTTTCGCTTCGGATCGTAATATGCGACGATGCATTGATACCGGGCTCGATTATAGAAAAAAACTATCTCACCACCACGAGTAACACCTTTGCCCGAGCCCGACCAATTTTCTAAATCTACCATCTGCTCGTGAAAGAAAATCCTGGACCATTCTTGTGTCGTGTCAGTTTGCTCCATAAACCAAATTTCCACGCCCTTCTGGCAACACATGAATCCTAACTTCCCATGGAAGTTTATCAGACTCGAGCGGTGATTCATCAATGTTTCTGGAGCCTTGACCTGATCAAGCTTCTCCGACCTAACATCAAAACTTACCAAAACATATGTACGACGATATTTTTCAGTCCTTGCTTGGTAATAGATAGCCCCGTTGATGCAAATAGCAGGTATTACTGGATAGTGATGTCCAATGCCTTTTATGTTTCTCCACTTGTTTGCAGCCGTCGGAACTGACAATGTGAAAACTTGACAATCTTGTTCCAAACTGCGTTCTCGTAGGCTCAAAACTTTGTATTGATTCTCGAGAGGGTCGTATCCAAGGAAGCAAATGTTCTTGTATAGGTGCATGTGTTTCTGCTCCGGTAACCAAAGGGCCTGCCTGGTGGTAGGGTTGTATATAGCAATCGAAGCATAACCGTATGACCAACAAAGAATCAAACCGCGGACGTAATCATAAGAGTCTGATCGCGTTAATGCAGGGATGTATATTGATTCGTTATCAGCGATCTTTTGGGTAGTTGACGTGAAGATGAAGTAAGGTTTATCCCTACGGTGATGGAAGATGATGTGTGTACGCTGCGGCTGAGCTAAAGAGCGAGTCACGATTGAGTCAAGGAAGTCTCTGCGGGTGCCAATAATTGATGACCATTGCTTCGAGACGCATCGGAACCTCACAAGAGATTTTGCAGGGAGTTTTTTAAGCATCTCCACCACTAGATCCAAAGGGATATTGACGTCGCCGGACCTTTTTCCGGTGAAGTGAAGACGTTGTGTCGCCGATGGTGCGAATAGGAATGCAAGTACCGATTTTATAGAGTATAATGTTGTGATCACAAAGGAACCTGATGATTTTGTTATTGGATAATATTCGCTTCCTCTCTTCATTACGTCTCTGTTTTGTAAAACCCTAAACTTGGAAGAACAATATATATATAAGTGTATGGTTTGTTTTTGTTTTTCTCTTTTTTTTTTTTAAGATTTATCGTTGTCCAAAAAAAAAGATTTTCTTTGAGAGACAAACCATTAAAAAAAAACCTTATGTAAAAGGAAATACTTTGTTTTTAAAAAAAAGAAGATTTATCGTTGTCAAATTTAATGTTTTATTTATGGATATATTCAAATCTTTACATATTTATGTTTTCTTTATTTCTTTCTTTGTGAAAAAAAAATCTCTACAAAGGACGTTAATAATGGTTATATCTTGAGAGACAAACCAAACCATTAATGTCAAAACATGGAAAGTTAAAAAAAAACAAAGCAGAGTCAGAATAGGGAAAATGGTCAAAACCTAGCTGAACTAAATTCTGTGGGCCAAAAAAAATATGAACTAAAATACGGGGCCAAAACCTATCTCAACTCATTAAAAATTTGAATTGTCTATCTGCACTCATATGTAAGTGCTAAAACCTACCTTGACCAGAAATCCGTTAGTCAACATTAACGGGGTGCTGAGGTGGACACCGAGTCAACAATGATGTGGCAATAAAAAGGAAAACGACGTCGTTTTAAGAACTCGTGGAGCAAAACAAACACACAAAACGACGTCGTTTTGAATTGGGGGGAAATTTAAAAATCCCCAAATTGATTTCAATCGAAATTAGGGTTTAGTTCTTCTCTTCTTCTCCGATAGAAAAGGGATTTGTTGATTGGATTGAGATTAGAAGAATTTTGGGGTTCAAAAAGCTTTGAAGAAGACTGCTGCAAAAGAATCGATCCATAATTTGGTCGATTGAAGTCTCGTCTTCAAAATGAGGTAAGCTGCGAATTTAAAAACCAATAAGTGCTTTAAAAACTTTGATTTTGAGACAGATAAGTATTGCGAGTCTGTTTATGGTCATATTAAACACTATTTATATCATTTGTAGTTTAGTTTTTGAGTTTTTTCATCATGATAGTTTTTGAACATAGTTAATCCACCAAGTGTTCGATATAATGTCTGAGAGAGTTTAACTCTTGGGTTTCAATGTTTTTTTTTCAGCTTCTACGATTCTGAAGTGAGCTTCAATGTATTTAGCGGCGGCCTTGTTTTGGAGAGTTGCTGAAAGCTTCACTGAGCATGAATACAGAGCCAACATAGAGAGGGTGAAGAACTATGATATACGCCTGTATGAAGCCATGATGGAGAAGAATCCTCAGAACTGCAGCCTCACCTATTTCTCACCGGCAGCTTCTTGTGTGGACGTGCATAACAACATCTCTGAGTCCTTCAACAATGCTATTGATCCTGCAAGGTATATGCCAATGGTGGAGATGTTAGAGACAATAAGGAGAAGAACCATGATACGTATAGACCAGAGGATGAAAGAAGCATTGAACCATCAAGGAAGATTCACGGTTAGGGCAGTGGAGTGGATAGAGGATGAGCAGAAGAAACTCAGGTATTGTGTAATGGTTCCCGGAGCAAATGCAAGAGATGAGGTGCGTGAGTCTGGTGTAAGCTACAGTGTCAATATGAGACTCAGGACATGTGCTTGTAGGAGATGGGATATGAGTGGTCTTCCTTGCCGTCATGCCCTTCGTATCATCGCTGAGAGGAAGCTGAATCATGAAGATCATATATCCCATTGGTTTCTTAATTCTAGGCAGCAACAAATCTATGGTAACTCAATCAATCCTGTTAACGGTATGTTGTTTTGGGGAAGTTCAGGATCAAAGGTGCTGCCACCACCAAGTTTGGTTGAAGAAATTGAGAACAGAGTTGGAAGAAAGCCAAAGCCGAAGAGAAAGAAGGCAAGGCATGAGTCTCCATCAAAGAAGAAGGCATCTAGAGAAAAAAAAGTCATGCATTGTGGTCGTTGTGGTGAAGCTGGACACAATGCAACCAAATGTCAGAATATGGTAGGGGAAACCAGCAAAAAAGCAAGAAAAAGAACAAATGCAAGAAAGAAGAGGCAAGTAGAAGATGGAAATGAGGCCACCGAGACAGAACAAGATGGATATGAGTCAATGACTCTATCATTTGGAGATGGACCAATTCCAACTCAGCCAACTCAAGAATATGTAAGTTTCATGATTTGTTAAATGGTATATGTTTTATCGACCTTGTAATAATCTTATCTACATTGTTTTCTTCTATTTTGGTGTTAGGAAAGATGGATGATGTAAGCTTTGTGGAGCACGAAGACAAGAGCATAAGATGCATCGGATTAAAAAGGTTCTCAAGACCTAGATCATGACTTCATTTTCTCTGTTTTTGTCATGGTTTGAACTTGATTTTGTTGGCTTTGATGATGTACTTTTGTTTGGATTTTAGATTCTTGTTTTGTGACTGCTTTTGTAAAGATTATGCTCAAACAATTGTCTCTCCTTTTAAGCTTTATATATCTCTCCTTCAAACTCATTCAGTTTCAAATCATTCAGATATAATAACCATACATAGATTACACACAAACATAGATTCTAGGCTTACATTCCAACAAGAAAACAAATGATAAAGCATATGGAACATCAGTTGCTTAAAACAGAGACACATAAACTAACCACATCACAAAACCAAATCCCACAAGGTTCTTCAAGCTACGGAGCTGCATTTTGAGATCTCCCACTTCTTTTGCAACCACAGCCTCACACAAACGCGTCTCCATGGTCAATGTATCAATCACGGACTCACAAACATTGAAGCTCTTCTGCAATGTCGTTGAACTCTCTTCAATATTGTCCACTTTGTCAATCAAGTCCTCAAGCTCTTCAACCATACATGTATCAGTCCATGTGAATGTATGATACCAATTATCCTGTTACATATACAAACATAAATCAATCGACATTAAAAGCTTTTTCCAAAACTGATTCACTGCTCAAACCCGAAAATGAATTCACTTACTCCTTCCTTTCTCTGTGGACACGCATGAAACAGCCTTCCAGGGTTTTTAGCAGTACCAGACGTCTTCATTACAATAGCTTCGCCGCACCTACATCTCTTAGGAAACCCTCGTCCTTGAAATTTCTATTACACTTCTTTCTCATCTCAATCCAATCAACAAATCCCTTTTCTATCGGAGAAGAAGAGAAGAACTAAACCCTAATTTCGATTGAAATCGATTTGGGGATTTTTAAATTTTCCCCCAATTCAAAACGACGCCGTTTTGTGTGTTTGTTTTGTTCCACGAGTTCTTAAAACGACGTCGTTTTCCTTTTTATTGCCACATCATTGTTGACTCGGTGTCCACCTCAGCACCCCGTTAATGTTGACTAACGGATTCCTGGTCAAGGTAGGTTTTAGCACTTACATATGAGTGCAGATAGACAAGTCAAATTTTTAATGAGTTTAGATAGGTTTTGGCCCCGTATTTTAGTTCATATTTTTTTTGGCCCACAGAATTTAGTTCAACTAGGTTTTGGCCATTTTCCCAGTCAGAATAACTGTAGTCTGTAGATTAAATACTTCTTTCTCCTCTGTCTCAAGTTCTTAGAGTTGAAATTGACACATTAATTACAATTATGGGAGATACAACTTATACTTTTTTGGGTAACATATATTGTTATCCCTGCCAAAAAAAAAAGACAGCGAGATTATGTATGTGTCAAAAAGGAACATTTCATAATCACATATAAGATTGAAATGAACATTAATCGACTTAGTCCGGTGATTCTTTTGAGCCACCATCTACGAGCTTTTCATGCCTTGAGGAAAGATGAGATGCAACGAGTTGCTAACAGATCAGCAAAAAGACACATATCTATATATATATATATATATATAATTTTACGAGATTCTCCATGAGATAACTTTAGGGAAATATCACAATTGGGAAAAAAAATCACAAACCTTCAATCCTTCATTCAAGTAGAAATGTGATACAAAGGAAGCTTAAATACACTAAAACCAAGGGCAATAACCGAGAATGAATCATACTTATTTGAACCAAAAGTGAATATACACTCTAATAAATTTTATTTTTAATTAATTCAATTACAAATCTGATCAAAATTTGATATTTAGAACCTGATTTAAAATTATGATCCACTAACGCTATTCATCCCTAGAGACGTGGATATAAGAAAATAAAGAACATGAAAAAATGGAGAGCCAAGCTCTAATGTAACGGGGCAATTGCATCAGAATCCCCGGTTAAATATGATAATCTATTTATATAATAAATAGTATAAACTGAATTTGAACAATTAATAGAAATTAAATATTAAAAAAAACACTGTGAAATCTGGAATCTGTTAAGGCTCTATGGAAATATAAACCAGAGAAATTCAAGAAAATGTTTTCTTCAAAAGCAACGTGGAACCTCATATAGGATGCAAAACCGAAACTTGAATGGTCGCGAGGTATTTGGTTTAAATATGGTACACTAAGGTTTTCTTTTCTTGCGTGGTTGGCGATGTAAAATCACTTATCTACGGGACATAGAATGCAACGGTGGAACGCATCAATTCAATCCCAGTGTGTCATTTGTGATGATCCGTTAGAAACCAGAGATCATCTAGATCTTTTTATCATGTCGTTACTCAGCTCAAGTGTGGGAGGCTCTCACAAAAAGAATTCTCAAAGAAAGTTACACAACGACTTCGAACTCGCTTGTGCATATCATCTCAGGATTCATCTCTGAATTTTCTTCGTTTTATCATAAGGTATGCTTTGCCATCTGATATTCATGGACTATAGAAAGAGAGGAGTGGAAGAAACACACGGAAATCCACCATCTATATGCCTCAACGTCTGATAAAACTGATTGACAAGACTATGCACAACATGCTTTCTTCGATACAAAGCTCGGGAAATGCAAAATATGAGGGAAACCTCATGTTTTGGTTTGCAACGAGGACTACCTCATCACATTGTGTATTTTGCTCACTCTTAAAATCTCGACGCACTTGTTGTAATAATGACTTTTTTCTTTTGTTTGAATAATAATTTAACATTCACTTTAAAAAAAATTGTTGCCTGAATTATATTATAGGTTTTGGCGTAGAAAAAGTAATTTAAAATTGAAGAAATGAAAAGGAACACAATTTGTCGACATAAAAAAACTTAAAAGGAAAAAATAATTAATCTACATAAAACCGAGAACAAATTAAATGCAAAGAAAAAAAATGTGGGGAAGCATGGGACCCACATGAGAGAGGTAAAAAATGAACAGTGATCAGGCATCGAACTGGTATCTTCTTAGTTCTTAAACTTATAAATGAACGAAGCCACTGAGCCACGTGCTTTTAAATTTTCTTGTCGAAAACAAGGCAAAAGATATTTCATTAATAGCACGTGCCCCTATACCCATCGACGTGGGTCCGCACCTGATGTTGAAATCAAACAGTAACTCTCTGAAGTTACATATTAGAAATTCTTAGAAACGGGAGCTCATGCAAGACTCAACCAAAGAAAAAAGCAACCCAATCAATTAGTTTAAGCACTTGATAATCCCATCGCCTTGAGCTCTGGTTTCTCTTGACAAGGGTCTCAATCATCTTCAGAAGATAACTTGTAAGATATATTCATTAATTAATTAGGTTAATTACCTAATGTGTCGAGGTAACAGCGCCAAATTCAGTTAACTTTTCTAATCATGTTACAAGCAACAATAACATGTTAAAAACTGGATCGGTTTAGAGATAATCTAACTTAACCATAGAGCTCGCATTACTGAAAGGAGCAAGTAATTCTATTCTTTAATTAATTGTCTTACCAGTTTTAGTTTAATCTAATCTAACCTTCTATCTTTTAATTTCTCTATAGAATATATTCCAATTTGAAAGTGTCTATATATTCTTTTCAATGTCAAATATTCTCAGTTAAAGACTATGTTTTCTTCCTCTTATCGATAAAATCCATGAATAAAAATTTGAAATCTTTGACCCTAGAATAGCAAAAAGAAAAGAAGACATCGCGATAAATAACCGTGCATCTTCATTATTTCATCTCACATTTTTGGAAACTGAACTTAATTGATCCATAGTTTTTGTAATCAATTAGTTTTGAAGTCGTATAGAGCTAAGTTACCAGAAATAGAATATGGGCGCTCTATTTATATATCGAAAAAAACATTACACCTCAATCACACGAACACACACAAAACGACAAATCTCTCCGAATGCCCCTAATCAAGATAACTAATTAAGAGTACTCTCGTAATTAGATATCAATTACTAAAGTAAAAGTGGCTAACCATACAAACCCAAATATATAATTTAATTGCTTCTCTAATACTGTTACTAGTTGATGATGATTAAACCAAGGAGTTTGTTTTAGTGGACGATCCATAGCCATTCATCAACCCATTCCACGACGAACCTAAGCCGTTGATATAACCGCCACCGCCGTATCCACCACCTTCAGATTTTCCTCCGCCTCCGCTGGCGCCACCATCGGAGTAGCCTTGATCGTGTTGCCAATCAAGCGATAACAGCTTTGCATTTGGCTTCACATCCATTATTGTTGTTACTCTTTGATGATCTTCAAGATGATTATGATTATAATGAAGATGATCATAATTAGGTAGCATAAGTCTCTGGCATGTGGAGACATCCATGAGCGCACCACCACCATTTCCGTTTCTTCCCGGGGAAATCCCGTGGAATCCACCATTGTTGTTGTTGTTGTTTAGACCTACTCCGTGATTCAGACTCATGTGATAGTTATGATGATGATGATGATCTCCATTACTCCCATGATCAACCATGACCAGGTTGTCATTGTTCACTCCCATGAGATCAAATTTAGTGTCCAAGAAATCAATAGGTCTAGGGCTCTGCGAAAGCAATCCGCCATACTTGCTTTCCAAGAAACCAACGTTGCTATGCTCCGGAGTTGAGTAAGACCCCATCATCCCACCGAAATGTGAAAACCCTAGAGGGCCATTTTGGTAATTCTGGTGAGAATGTGCTAAAGCCATAAGGTCGGATGTATTAGTGGTGACAATGTTGGATGGCTTTTTCCCGGAAGAAGTGGAGGATGAAGAATTAGAGGAAGAGGGTTTCTTGTTTTTCCGGCAGCCACCACCGACGGGAATATTCCTTAGAGTGCCCCCTTTGGTCCAGTAACGGCGACAAGTCTTGCAGAAGTAACGAGGCTGAGAGAGGCTATAGTTATTGTAGTAACAGAACTTAGTGTGTGTTGACTCGCAACGAGGACACTTTTGAGGATGGTCGTGAGGTGGACGCAGCCTCCTTCCACCGTCCATCAGAGCCGCCGCTGCTACAGCCACAGCCGAGGCTTGTGGTCTAGTGCTGCAAGCAGCTAGTATGTCGGCTGCTGATGGAGAAGTCGTTGAAGAGTCTAACATGCTTCCTCCTGATGACTCAGCTTCCTAACATTACAATTTACAAAAACATATCAAAATGTGTAACAGTGTAGGATTTATATAAAGAATCGTTTTTTTTTTTTGAAGTTTCAAATGAAGAGCCAAGTTCACCACAATAGAAATTAACGTGCTTGTATGCTATAGGTCATCACTTGCACGCCAAAAACGATGGTTTGAGATGACTAATGAGTAAGGTCTGAATTGTTTCAAAAACAAATTTTGTATTTAGCATTTGCATTTTACATGACATTTGCATTTGTGTTTACATGTGACAAAAAAAAGTCATAAGGAGAAATTCAAATTTAAAAATGTCAAACGTAAACAGATCTTCCATTTGCACTTGACCATTATCTTAACAATTAACAAGATAATTTTGCTAACTTTTAACAAATTTTACGTTCATTAACTTGGAAGAAATGACGGTTTAACTGAAAATACCTGGAGCCAATCAGAATCCATGCAAACTTGAAGAGAAGTAAGACCCATATTGTGTTTTGGCTCTTTGTTTAGTTTTGGGGGAGTGAGAATTTTAAGACAAGTTCATGAACAAAATCGAGAGAGAGAGAGAGAGAGGAGATGAGGCAAGGAAGAGTTTGGGGTTGGGATGTGAATAAGAAGGAAGCAAGAAGAGGACCTTTCTTCTCCTCGGGATTGCTGTCTCCGCTCAAAACCACTTCAATTATACTTAGTTAAGTTAGTTCACACTTACAATTTTTTTTTTACTTTTTTTTTTCAAGTTTAATAAATACAATGTCTTAACATTTAAATTATCGTTTCAATCTAATTTTTTTAAAAGTCGTAAACCTTGCTCATTGTATCTATCTGAACTCTAATTATTCATTTTGGTCGTCGATAACGATATGCCAGGTGATCTTATCTAAAAGGCCACCTACTAATCTAATCAAAACTAATTAAAATTCCATAATTATTATTATAATTGATCGTTTTTCGGATGTTATTATTTGTAAGTTTTACATTTATATGGACACCAAAGCGTGAAATACGGAGCTTCCTTTGATTTTCTATTTCTGGAATTAATGTATGGTACGGTGGATAATTTCTTAGTTTCATGACTCTCATCTCTGTATTTCCTATTTTCTTACTAATTTTAAAAGTTATGAAGACGTTACTTAATTACTCAAAATGTTCTGTTTCCAGTTTTGCGGAATTTGATTATTGAAAAGTTAATACGGCTTGCTTTGGTTGATCATGATAAAAGTTAACACTTTAATTTCGACCTATATTTGTATTATTATAACTGTAATGTCTATAAGTGTATAGATGGAACGTATATACGGATGTGGCGGAGGAAAAAGGAAAGCGTCGGTCGGTGGTTCCTAAATCATCGGACCCACATTCTTTGGTGGGTCCACGTCAACTTGACCAACCATCTTTAATAGTCCAACGGCTATGATTAAACCATAGGGCCCAGATGGATAACGTGAGCCGTTGGATGAGTTCAGAAATAGCGGCTTGATCGTCACACAACAGAGACAAAAGTGAGAGAAGAGAATAATTTTTTTTCGAAGTTTTGGTCTGTGAGTTTTTGTGTTTTGAGACTTACGATAAGAGGAAGTGTTTGAGAACTAAGGTAGGGCCCATTAATTGGGCTCCACTCGCTCGCTCCTCTCAAGCAAAGTATCTATTCTCTTGCCACCTGTCGCTTTTCTTGCTTCTACTACATGTGGCAGTCTGTTTCAAGTTTTATTTTTTTGACTTCCTGAATCATTAGTAAATTATTCAAATAGTTTAATTCCTTTGGATAATTTTTAGTGATTAAGTTACCGAATTAAAAGTTAAAGAGTTTGATCGATGAAAAAGACGAACAAGAGACAAAAGTTGAGGGCTGTAACAGTTTTCTTTTATATATGAAGGGAAATATTTTTAGATTTTCGGTGTATAGCTTTTTGAGATCTTAAAACGCAAATCATATTTTTGAAAGTAATTTTGCATTCAAATTTGACTGAAAAATCTAAAAATATATACCTTGCAACCGGTTAATCTAACCATGCATGTACTCTATAAATATGCTGTTATCAGTGAAAGCCTGAAAGGAATTTTATCTGCGTACAAAAGGAATGAATATCAGTGTTTAAATACCGGAGTCGCCGTAATCTTGATTTTGTTATTTAGTTGAATTTTAAATTATTACACATTACAAAGATTTTCAGCCGAGGGTAGGATAAAACTAGTCTATAATTATTTTTTAAATTGTTACAAGTAAATATAAAATCCACATTTCAAAATTATTTTGTTTACAAAGCTTAGTAGATATAATATAATGCTATAATGCTATATAACAAAATGTTAAAAGTATTTGACGAAGAATTGAAGTATATATTCTCCTTACGAAAGTACTTCCCTTCACCTATCATTGAAGATTAAGAGCTTATTTAAGTTTCTTTGTTTTCTTCTATCTTATGATTTTTCTAATGTATAATAACCTTAGTACCTGTATATAGAGTTTAAAAAAACTTTGAAACTTGCTTGCATACTAATAATACCAAAAATCTTAATAACAACACTTGTGTTGTAGAAATATTTTAAGCGAGTTTTAGATTGTGTATATTTGTGGTGAGATAAATACTATATAGTAACTATACACTTAACGATTCATTAAAACTCAATAATACCAAACCCTTAAAAGGCAAAATACAGCAGACCTAACCTAAGAGGCTAGAGTTTAGGCATTCATGATTATAGAGTTTTAACGAAGTGTAGAACAATCTTTTGATATTTCAAGAAATGGTCAGTGTTTGTGAACAAAAAAAGCACATTCTCAAATATCTTATATTTTAGATCCACATGAATCGTTTAAAATTCTACCATGTATACATATAGTATACGTTTTTTAAGTAAAGTTTTATGTTACAAGTACGACTATAGCGATTTATATTAAAAAGTATAGCCTGTAAATTAATATAGCAAAAAGAAATATACTAGAACTAAATATTTGATGAGTGGTGGGATTTCAAATGAAAATTCCGCCGGAGGCCTACCATTTTATTGCGACACATGTTATGGACTATCATGGATTAATATTAAAATTAAAGTGGACGAAGATTAAGATATATAGAAGACCACGCAATATTGTTGTTTCTTACTTTTGAATTTGACGACTGATTTTAACCTTTATAGATAATTAAAGATCAAGAGAAATGCAAATCTATATTAATCACAATACAGTAAGGAAAATTGCAACATTTTATCTTGTAATGTAAATATGATATGACAGTAAGTTTTGGTATATATATTCCTAGAGTTGTTACGTTCTATTTAACTGGAATAAGAAACAACCTCACATTGAAAGCGAATACAGTCTCATTGATCCTACGTAGTTACATAGATGTTCATACAATCCATTTAAAAGACATTAAATTGTAATAATTTTTAATTATATATGACTCAATGAGCCGAAAATTCAAATAACTTTAAAGGGAAAGCTTCATAACTCTATGAGACAAGTAGGAAGCAGAAGATTGTAAGGATCTAGGGAGAATACTTCATACTTGGTTCACATGGATTTATTTTTTTCAAAGAACAAAACTAAAAGCTAAAAGAGAGAAAGGAAAGAAGAATAAAGGGCATCGAAAATGGTGTGAGAATAAATCACACAAGATAAGCTAAGCGTGACGAAGAAAATTTCTTTGGCACGGTATATATGTATATATTAGTGAGACCCACTTTTCAAAGTTAACAAAGTGTATCTGTCCCGCGTATATTTGTTCCATTTGCATTACTCGTTAACATTTGGCGTTACACGTCATCATCTCATCCATATAACGTCATAAGATATAGTGATATATAGGTTGGCTATGAAGCTGTTATACTGTAAAAGACATCACTCAATCATTTTTAAACATGTTTCTCTAGTTCAATTTAATTTAAAAAGACTAGATTCGTTGAAATCATTCACAAGAACACAAAACGTTCAGCCACGAAACTCGAATCGAATAACATACCAAGAACTATGTTTTATTAACATAGTGTATAAAAAACGAAAATGATAGCATATGATAATGGCTCTACCTTCGTACCAATTTGGTTGAAGTCAAACCAAAATATATCATATCTAATCAGACTGATGAAACGCAATAACTTTCCTTTACAAATATTTCTATCTGAACCAGGATATTAATGAACATAAAAACATTATACTTATATTTTTGGACATATTTCGTAATTGGTTTAACTTCAACATCATGATTCGAATACGTTCAGATATACGAGAATTCTAGTTATGTCAAGAATATGCTTCAAATAAATCATATATACGGATTTTGAATACATGTAATATACCCTATTTATATATTTATCCGTGAAAATGTATGGATATCAATATATCATGTGCTTTCATAAAGGTTGAGATACCTATTTCATGAATGGCAAGTTGTCAAACCCTATATATGCTTATCCAACGAAATTTGAAATAATATTCGAGAAGAAAAGTATTTTAAATAAGTTGTATTACTTTTTTAGTATAATTTGTAGAACATATTCCTCTATGCTTTCCAAATCATGAGATAATGGACCTAATTGTTTGATGATATATGTAAATCTATAGGGTAGTCGTTTGGTGTGGCTTGTTTCCGATTCGTTTTTTATTGGTTTAATTGAGTTTCCTTAAAACTGTATATAATTATAGAAAATTAATTTGTCATTCGATACGTTTAGTGCAATTTCAATTTAACTTTTTCAGTAAATTGAATGTGAACTTAAACATTGACTTAAGGACAAAGTACCAAGCTTACACAACAAAGGTTTCCACGTTACCCAAATCTGATGCCATTACTACCCACACAGGCACATATAATCTTTTTGTTGTTTATTTTTTATTACGTCGATATGGAAACGGAAATAAACGATTCAGCTAAAAAGCCTAAAACTAAAAGAAAGCATAATTACCGTAAATGAGTGCGAAGGTAATGGATCTTGTAATTCCATTCATATAATTTCTCACCATTAAATGGGGTTTTTACAAACAAGAAAGAAAATTCTATATGTGTTCTTCACTAAAGATATTAACTCAAAAGAAAGAAAAAAAAAACTGCAGTTACGATTGTTCGCCGTTCTCTGTTTCCTCTTCTTCATTATTACCTTTAGGAGTTTCCAGTGAAGGAAGAGGCGGTAGCAAATCCTGCACGAGCTCTAGGATCCCATCTGAGTCGATTTCCCGATTATCGGGCGTCTCTATGATCTACAAACGTCGCAATCAACAACAAAAAAAGGGTTAAAGACAGCATGTTAGAGAAACTAAAATGTGATGATAGATACGTTGATGAGATTTGGTAAAAAGAAGATAGCACAAACCGGCATCAGTTCAACAATAGAAGATGGCCTGAGATTGATGATATTGAGAATCTCAGCTTTCCAGACTTTGAAAGCTTTGCACTTGTCGGCGAATTCGTTAACGCTCTCTCGAGTTTGAGTGCAAGCAGCAGTCTCCACCAAGTAATCATAGACCTGAAAGAAGATCATTATAATGAACAAAAAAAAAAGCATTAAACTTTCACTAAAATCCCTGTTAATTAAAGCTTAAAAGTAATCAAATCAACAGAGAAGAAGAGAGTTTTCAGGGCAACAAGAAGACCTTGTATTCTGATTTAGCAATTGGAGCTATAACTCTTGTAGTATCCCTTGATGCACCTCTCGAGTTTAGGAAGTCAAGCACCTCGAAATTTGTAAGCGTACCTGCGTTTTCCTTTACTCTGCAATACCCATGTCGGATTTTTTTTATTACATAACAGAGAAAGATTCAAGCTAAAAAAAACAAGAAATGGAAGATGGATCATGAAATATATAAAAAAAGGACATACATTTTCATCTTCCAACCAGAATGGGAAGAGAACGCTAGGGCTATGTAGATGCAGAGGCTTCGAATTCAGAGGGGAAGAGAAGTTCTGTTCCTGAAAATTCAATGCCAACATCAACACCAAAGGATTATTATTCCCAAAATCAAAACATCTCAGTAGTCAGTAATTACAAAAACGACACATTTTACAACTAATACCAGCTACCATCTAATATAATGAAAACGCAATCATATATAGCCATAGTCGTCACTTTGCATATTCGATGACGCGGTTATGAATCAAAGCTTTAGGTGAAACCCTAAGAGACCCATTAGCAGATAGACAACGCAGAGCTTTTTGAGTAAATACGACCGAGCAGATATCTCAATTCCACTGTCGGAAATCTCAAATGAACCTCGGATTATAACTCCCGACATCGGAGAGGCCGAAGAAGAGCTGAGAATGTCTGAGAATAAAACGAAATTACCTACTATTTGATTAGATGTAATCGAGCAGAAGAGCTACGTTCTTGTCTTCTGGAGATCGAAGAAGAAGCTCGTCGAAACCTCGCATCGTATCAGTACCTAAACGGTATCGTTCTTAATAAAAGTAAAACCCTAACCGCAGACGACGTAAATTTTTTTTTTTAAGTAAACGGAAAAGAAAAAAAAACTTATGTTGGGCCAATAACAACATCCTTGTGCTATTCCTTCCAGGGCTATCTCTTCATCTTCGTGAGCTTCAAGCCCAAATACTTATCCCCGTATTTTTTTACATCTATCTAAGTTAACTCACTACTATGCAAACCACTTTGATCATTGTTTGTTTAACGTTTGCATATTTTTGAAAATGTGAAGGAGTTGTTTTTGTTTCAACGTCATTGGCATTTTCAAAATATTTTGAACTTTTTATTATTAGAAATTTAGATGTATGTAATTGTAAGATATATGAATTTGAATTCAACTTTTAAAAAATAATATTGTATGCGGCGTCTCGATGGCAAAAAACATATACACTAATATAGACAGAAACTCCCATTTCCTTAGAATTTGCTAAGAAAATGAAAGGAATTAGGACACATGATTCTTGCTTTGGAGAACAAAAGCACTTGAAACATGCAAGCTAAGCTAACTAACTGCCTTTTGTTAACCCAAATCTGGCAAGGCTCCTCTCATTGCTTTTAAAGCTCCTCATGCTTTCCACCCTTCCTTAAATCTCACTTACATATATTTATTTGATTTTTTCGTACACATTTCAATTTTATTGTTTGTTATTTAAACATCATCTTTTTGGTTTGTTTCAACATTTTTTCTTTCTTTCTTTTGGCTCTCTGTTTAATTTGCAAGAAAAATTGTGCACCCATGAAAGGTACCAATCTCTTCCCCTTATTCTTTCTGTAAATTTCTTACTTTGAAAATTTTCTCATGGCATTTTCACTCTGAACCTAGTTAATGCGATATTGTTTTCACAATACAATTACCAAAATCGCTACCTATCTCTTTTTTTTAAAACTGAAATTGACATAGAGTTAAAGACAAACCATTCCTGTTTATTTTTTGGGATGAAAAAAATTAATGTTTGAAATTAAAACTGTGAAAGAAACCTTGTGAGTTTGGTCATTAGTTAATAGATACAAAAGATGAAAAAAGTGGTAGAACTGTGTTGTCGATTTGGAAATGGAATGTAGTAGTAACGTGAAGAGAACAGCAGTTTTAGTTGCAGCCGCGTTTACTTAGCGGCCAAGACGCGTCGCTGTCTTCTCTTGCACGCTCTTTTTTGCTCTGTTTGTGACAGCTGTCTGTCTGTCACACATGAATCCTCTTCAAGCTACGTGACCGACCTGTAGCCCTCACCTATTAATTATTGTGTAATAATATAAAATGACAATATAAATATTATTCACTCGCTTCGCTAATAACCAAATATATGTAGGGACTCTTTTTTTTTTTTTTTTTTGGCATTATAGGGACTCTTAACCAATCGAAAACATCGAAGATTCTAATTTCAAGAAACTGTTTTTGGAGTTCAAATAAAATTTAGTAGACAAAAATATCAAATCATAGGAACTTTATTTTTGTAAATTTCTTTAGTTAATTAACCTTTTCCGGTTAAACTTAAATTAGGAATTTGGAAGTGTTTATCTTGTATGACAAATGTAAGAAAAATCCAAAAAAACGAAGAAAAAATAAGACTGCCGACAGAAATTGTTCCCTCACAACTCACACAAACTTTACAAAAAACTGTTTTTTTTTTTCTTGGTCTTTCGCTAATCGTTACAGATCAATTTGATTTAACTGGGAAAAGTTTGCTTTAACAAAGCCATGAAAGCCGCTATTTATTAGATTCTTAAAAGAGGTGCAAAAGATTTGATGAATTTGGTTAACTGACTCGATGCTTCATGAATGATACACATATTTGGTGAATGTAGTAGTAGTCATTATTCATTACATACTAAATATCATGTTTTTGAATAGAAATTTTAGGCGTAACTTGCATTGGCTGTTGTATGACAATTGACAAGAGACAAAAGTCTTAAACCATTAGGCATCAAAATCTTTTGGAATTACCAATTAGCATTTCCCTATGTATATACTATTAAAAAAAACATTTAAGCTTTTTTTCTCGTTTGTTGGAGTTACCAATAAGCATTCCCTATGATGACCCATTAAAAAATACAACCGTCGTTTATTCTTTTGGTAAAATATAATCGTACTTGTTTCTTATGTATATTTTTTTTCTATCGTATTCAACAAGCCATGCATTATCATCAACAAGAAAATCTAAACAAGTAAAAACCCCACCAGAAATAATTGCCGACGTTACGTATTTCCAACAAAAGAATTCCCTCAAACAAAATAGACATCTTTCACTTTCCAATTTGTTGTGCATATAAATGATACTTACATCATCCCTGTTAATCAAATATTTTGCAGGATTTTTTCTTTGTTTGTAAATATTATCGAACTGAATAATCATAGCCACTTGTTTTAACTGAGTTCCAATTTTACTCATTTTTTTTTGTTAGACAGATAAAATTGCTGTCCTGTTCTATAAACAATAGTGTATTGATAAAGAGTATACTAGGTAAATATATTTGGTTGCCCCAACAGCATTTTATCCAAAATTAGTCACATTATAATTAATACTAATTTGATTCACTTTTCAACTTATTGATCTGGTGTTTATATATTTCGCATAAACTACATGAATCACGCTAAGTACAGTAGCCACATTTACTTCAACCGTTTCCCATCACCGGTAAAAACCTACACCACGTGATCCATTGTCACTAACTTGCCATTCAAGTTTCAAACCCAAAACATTTGTTCTCAAACATATAGAAGTTAGAATGTACAAATTTCTTGAAAGCATTTATTATCGAATTTCTGAAGAATGAGAATGGCCCCACACTCTGGTCTTTGCATGTATCTCTGAAACCTCATCTAAAGTCTTCGGTTTGGGTTTGTATGGGTCCCATTCTCTCACGCAGTCTCTGCCTTTGACCAAAAGCAACCTATCATTACATTTTTTCTTATAACTAAAAAAATAGCCACAACAAAAGCTGTATTCGTCATTAATTTCTCATTGTCACTGATAAATTAAAATCGTCACGGTTCATAATTCTTCAGAAAGCTCCCAAATATATCATTTCTAATTTATGTGACTCCTCCTCTTATAGAATCTCCCAGTTTATACGTATATATACAAAATTACAAATGCATGTATTGTGTCTATATGTATACGTAACATATAAAATACATGTGCATTATAGAATGAAAGAGAAAGGACACATAAACAATGCGTACGTTCCAATGTCTGTTTGAGAGTCCTTAACTTTTTATACGCTTTTTTGGGTATTTGCAAAAAGATTGAGACTCCACATAGAGATGCTGATATTTTATTTATATCTTTATAGATTCTCCATCCATTGCTCATATATAGACTATAATTTACTTTTATTCAGTTATTATTTACATGAGAATATATATAAATGACAATGCATTATGCATCAATTTGACTATCTGAGTATATGCCAAAACGAAATTTAAAATTATCTTCCTTTCAAGACATAAATCCTCACCCGATTTCCTCGAATCCATTAAACAGGGAAAAACTATGCTACATTGTTTATGCATTATTTATTTATGTATAGTTGATAAATTTGAGCATTGAACTATTCTCTCTCTTAAAATACTTGTCTTTCCTAAAGCAAAGAAGCAAAGAATCGTGTCCTCTTACACATTCACAGGCTTTTTGCATTTTTTTGCAAGGATCATTTCTTTTCTTGGCTTCGAATTCAGCTCCCTCTTCTTCTTCTTTATTTACTTTCTTTCTCACTTTTCTTTATTTAAATATTTTGATTTCTTTCAAATCTGATCAGATAGATGGTTTCTTCTTCTTTATGTGCAACTGTGCAAGAGAACACATGGTTTTAAAAGCTTCGAATCTCTCCCTTTGCTTCATCAATTATCTTTAATCACCTCATGACTCAAGATTTCAAATTCCCTAAATCTTGTTTTTAAATTTCTTTCTATTTATTCTAGACACATCTAATTGAATCCTAATCAATCCACAGTGTCTCTACTCTGTTTTTTTTTTCGTCAACGTTGAAACAAAAACTTTATCTCTTCTGTATGAAAGATTGAAACTTTATCAAAATGGCTTCATCATCATCATCATCATTATTGCCACCAACTTCATATACAGAGCTAAAAGATGCTTGGCATCCATCGACAACAACAGTGGACACAACAGAATCAAGCTACTGGTTTAACTGGAGGGTTATGATATGCTGCATATGGATGGCTATAGCGATGGTGGTCACTGCTTTTCTTATATTCAAGTACGAAGGCTTTCGTCGGAAACGAAGCGGAGACGGTGGCGACGGAGGAGAGAAAGAGTGGTCGGGAAATGTGTACGAAGATGAGACTTGGAGGCCTTGTCTCCGCAATATTCACCCAGCTTGGCTTCTTGCTTTTCGAGTTGTTGCTTTCTTCGTTCTTCTCATTATGCTGATCGTTATTGGCCTTGTTGATGGACCTACCATCTTCTACTACTATACACAGTAAGCTCTCTCTCTCTCTCTCTCTCTCTCTCTCTCTCTCTCTCTCGGTAAGAGTTAGAATGAGACTTTCTTGATTTTGATTTCTTGAGGTTTTGAAAATAATCGATACTTTTCTTGAATTGTTTTGGGGGTTAATAGAGATTTCCGTGATTGACAAATAGAGAGGCAAAGATGTGAGCTTCTTGTAGATTGAAGTTTTTGGGGGTGATTAAAGATTTTGCAGATTGATTTCTGTTTGGGCTTTAGAAAAAAAAAATCTTGTGGGAAAGCAATTTTTTCGCAGGTCTACACAAAGCATTGAGGCAATAATGTGACTTTTTTTTTTATGAAGATTTCTTGTAGGGTTTTGGAAAGAAAATCGAAATTTTATTGAATTGTTTTGTGGTAAAAATGAAGATATTTTAGTTTCACAAGCATAGAGACAAAGAATTTCTGCAGCTTCACATGCATAGAGGCAAGAATGTGACATTCTTGATAACGAGTCCGAATGTGACATTCTTCATTCAAGACTCGTAATTAAGAATGTCCGAATGTGACATTCTTGAATGAAGAAAACAAATTTGAAAGCTTTCTTGAATCATTTAGTGAGGCTAGAATGTGAAATTCTTGATTAAAAGATTTCTAGTGGGTTTTAGAAAGAAAAAATTGAGAGGGAAAGAACTGGTTTTAAATCCAATCTGACTATAAATACAAAAACAATATCTCTGTTTTTTGTTTTTTTTGTCCCTAATTGTATTTTCCTTTTCTTCTGGTGTCTTTTGTTTTGTGCAGGTGGACTTTTGCACTGATCACTCTCTACTTCGGAGTAATGTTCTGTTTCAAAATCTAATTACTTAATTTGCTTATAACTTGTAGCAACATTGCTCAAGTTTCTTATATTTATTGATATCTTTATACAGCTAGGCTCGCTTCTTTCGCTGCACGGATGCTACCAATACAACAAAAGAGCGGCTGGTGATAGAGTAGATAGCATTGAAGCCATAGCCATAGACTCAGAGAGGAAAGGCTCTGATAATACTCTTCAACAGAGTCAATACTCTAGTAATCCAGCTGGTTTTTGGGGCTATGTTTTCCAGATAATCTTTCAGGTAATTAAGATCAAAATCCATAACCACTCGAAATAGTAATATCAAAATTTATGAGTTGTTGATTGTATATCGCGTAAAACAGATGAATGCAGGTGCAGTTTTGCTTACTGACTGTGTCTTCTGGTTCATCATTGTTCCTTTCCTTGAGATCCATGATTATAGCCTCAATGTTGTAAGTAACTTAACGATCCATAGTAGATTTGGATTCAGTCTATTCATATAATAAACTATATAATGATCAATATTGCAGCTGGTGATCAACATGCACTCTCTTAACGCTATTTTTCTGCTTGGTGATGCTGCCTTGAATTCTTTGGTAAGTCTCAGATTATCCTCTGAATCTTTCTCCGAAAATTGAATAGGTATGTTTAACTCCTAAATTAATTGACATTCAATGTTTTTGGATTTTCGTTGCAGAGCTTTCCATGCTTCAGAATTGCTTACTTCTTCTTCTGGACAATAGCTTATGTCATATTCCAATGGACCCTCCACTCCTTGATCCATATATGGTAAACAAAATTATACTGAATTTTTCTTTCTACTGTAACTATTCTTAATTTTTGACAGTAATCACTCCTTACTGTTTATTAATAGGTGGCCTTACCCATTCCTGGACTTAGCATCACACTATGCTCCTCTATGGTAACTTCCTTATTATTATTATTTTTTTATTTTCCCATTGTTTCGTTGTAAATATATGGCTGTTGACATATTATTAAAATGATTGGGGATTTTGGTTTACAGGTATTTCTCAGTTGCAGTGATGCATTTGCCTTGCTATGGAGCATTTGCCTTGTTGGTGAAGCTAAAACATAGGCTTCTTCAGAGATGGTTTCCTGAGTCTTACCAAAGTCCTCGGTAGTAGCCTGCAACACAAGCAATCATGTTTGTTTGGAAGATTTTTTAGTAGAAAGATGGATTTTTGAAAGATAAATTAAGAAAGGAAAAAAAAAAGAGTTGTGGAGCAATCAAAACTCATGCTTATAAATATAATTAATTCTTTGGTCATATCATATAGCCATATAGGTGTATGGATCATTCTATATATTTATCTACGTAGGTGCAAGTTCCATTACTATACAACCTTTGCTCATATCATAAAGGTTGATCGGGAATTGCATACAACCGCTAATACCATGATTATACATAATCAATCCATACCATAGCACTGGAACATCGATCTAAACCCAAAAACCGATAGAAAGAATCTCTAAAGTGAAAGTTGAGAGAGCTTCTTCGAACACTGCTACCCAAAGAGAAACATCGTGATGCGTGTTTTGATTGGTGTACACACGATGACACGATGCGCATGAAAGAAACAATCAATGACTTAAACTGTAGGTAATTAACAAGACAATTGAGTGGGATTTAATTTATAACGCTGTGTCGTAACGAGAAGTCGAGAATGAATTAATGAGTTTTATTTTTACTGAAATTTATCGGATCGAGTAAACTTGGCGGTAATCATTCCCGTTAAACAAAAACCTTCACACCGGGCTGAGAACAAAAAAATTAAGCTTCAATTTAGGTTATTTTATTCTTTTGATCGGTTAATTAGGCCTCTTGTATTAAATAATAACCAAAAAAAATTACACTAGTTAGATTTGGGCTTGAAATGGCCCAAACCCAAAACATTAGAAATGTTATCGATGAAAGTTGGCGGAAGCTAGTTAGACATGAGCCTACACAGTAGTGAGTTGGTCGTCGTTTTCGTCAACGTTTGTTCTTCTTCATCTCTCTGCGCCGCTTTCTCGCTCTCGCAATCTCGTAAGCTTCTTCGAATTCTCTTCTTAGTTCATTGATAATCCTAAGTGTTCTAGTTATACTGAAGAAACTTGACCTAGATTAGTCCAAAGTCATAATAAAACCCTGAATGGTCGCGCCCTGACGACGAAATTCAGCTTGCAGTATATTGAATTGAATGCTCGCATCCTTAGGAATATAAGTGTTGATAAAAAGATTATATATTACAAAGAATCTCTTGATGAGTAATTTTTTTTGTAGACAACAACTCCTTTAGGTCCAGCTAGTCTGGAATTTTTGTAGTGTCTCTTGAAAGTCTTTGTGAGTTATGTTTTTTTTTTTTTGCCTAAACAAGTAATCGAAGATAATCCTGCGGTTTTATAGTCACTTTCGTATTTAGCATTCGTCTTTTTTGTTCAAAGCCTCTAAGCTTGTATCATGACTTCAACAGCTGATAAAGCGTTTTCTTTTAAACAGAACCATATGGAGATGATTGGGGACAAACTGATACTGAGAGGGTTGAAATTTTACGGTTTCCATGGAGCGATCCCTGAAGAGAAGACGCTGGGGCAGATGTTTATGCTTGACATTGATGCATGGATGAGTCTCAAAAAGGCCGGTGAATCAGACAACTTAGCAGATTCAGTCAGCTATGTCGACATTTACAAGTTAGTTTTTTTTTACCAATGTCAACAGAATTTGCTAGAGACAGCAAAAAAATGATAAGTTTTCCTGAACAACATAGTTGACCCCATCCGAAAATGAATAGGTTTGCTTATATAGCCTGAAAGTTAACTAGGATTTCACATTCAGTACCATCACCTTCCAACACTATTGTGGCACTGAACGATGCATCAAAGATCAATGTTGATGTTACTGTATAATATGGAAATGATCCTCTGAAATGGAAGATTTGGAAAAGGTTGTGATAGGAGTGAGTCAATGACCAATATTCGCGTATGCTGTACCTCCGCGTGAAACTGTATCATGATTTGTTTTAATTTCAGCTTGGCAAAGGAAGTTGTAGAAGGGTCATCAAGGAACCTTCTCGAGGCAGTAGCAGAACTCGTAGCTTCCAAAACTCTCAAGACATTCCCTCAGATAACAGCTGTTCAGGTGAAGCTATGGAAGCCTAATGTTCCGCTTATTCGTAGCACTATCGATTGCTTGGGGGTCGAGATTTTCAGAAACCGCGCAACTCATTGAATAACACTAACGAATCATTTGTATCTCAATTCCGTTATTTCAGTTGTATCCTTGGAATGTTCAAATTCATATCCAGAAGCTTGAAACTTGTGAAAAGCTTTTTTTTTTTTAACATCTCTATCAGAAAGCTAAATAGAGAGTAACTGGGGAATTGATTTCTGAAAATATTGTGTCTTTTTGTTTATTTTATATGTAAGGGTCATTTTTGAACAAAAAGCAAACATAAGGACTTCTACTGCAAAATACAGAAACATTGTTCAGAAACTTCGAATCTTGTCCAGATTCTTTTGAAGAGTTATAGAGGGAGAGAAAGAGAGAGAACACAACACGTGATAAGAAAATTCGAAGTTGCAGAAATTTTAAGTCATATAGTCGGCTTTTGCTTTGAGCAAAGACAAACTGTTTACTCTTTTAACTTTTGTCTTGGAAGGTTCATCTTACTATTTCTCTGCAATTACCAAAAGGTAAAAAACTAACTAAAAAATATTACACACTAATCTCTCGGCTCTTACCATGTGTGATTGTTTTGTCGATTCTGCCATGGCAAGTTTAGCGCTTGAGCTATCTCATCTATTTATGGTTGCGCACCATGTGTTTGAATAAATGCCTAAGAGACTAGAGAGCTGCTTGTTTCTGAGTCTCGTACTTTCTAATGTTTTTGGTAGATTTTTGGTCAATTTGTTTTTTTCCTTTTCTTAATGTTTTCGTATTAATTGCTTACTTTTCAGATACATTAGTCCGGTATTAAAAAGCTCTTATCCCTACTTCGATTTTTTTCAGGATCAAGGAAAATGATTTTCTGAGAGATTCGGCGGATGATGGCGCTTACTCAAGTGGTTCCTTCCTCTCCAGAAAAGCTCTTCTTTTTCTCTTGCTTTCTCCACCCATCAAGTCCTCTGGAGATTCGCAGATGTAACCTAAGTACTAGAACCAGTTCCAAGAAACTCGGAAGTCTGTCTCTGAACATCTCATGTTCAACTCACAAGATTGTCCGGAGTCCATCTTTGGACAGGCATGTGGTGAAGCAGAACAGAGTTCGGTTTGTGCAGAAGTTGAAAACTTTACTTCTCTCTAAACCAAAGCATTACATACCAATTCAAATCCTCTACAAATGCCGATCCTACCTCTCCATCGAAAATCCTCGGACAATCCTCCCCATGATCCGTCGTTATCCCACAATTTTCCAACTGTTTACAACACCAACACCCCATTTGCCTATGAATGCCACCAAACCGTTATCTCAACTCTGTGTCCGTATGACACCGGCTGCATCGTCCCTTGCGATGCAAGAACTGAATCTCAAGTCGGAAATTGCTGATAAATTGGCTACTAAGCTCCAGAAGCTGCTCATGCTGTCATCTCACCGCAGGTTGCTTTTGTCTAAACTGGTTCACATCGGCCCGGATTTTGGCTTCCCTCCTAATTTCAGGTCCCGGCTCTGCAATGACTATCCTGAAAAGTTCAAGACTGTGGATACTTCCTATGGAAGAGCGCTAGAGCTTGTCTCGTGGGATCCCGAATTGGCGAACCCAATGCCATCTCCTCAAGTTGATAGGGGTTTGATTGTTGATCGTCCTTTGAAGTTCAAGCGTCTGAGTCTCCGGAAAGGTTTAAACTTGAAGAGGAGACACCAAGATTACTTGATCAAATTCAAAGAATCACCTGATGTTTGTCCTTACAATACGTCATCTGACTGTCTGGCGAACGAGTCAACTGAGGCGGAGAAGCGAGCGTGCGCAGTTGTAAGAGAAGTGTTGGGATTAACGGTCGAGAAAAGGACTTTAATTGACCATTTGACACATTTCAGGAAGGAGTTTGCATTACCAAACAAACTAAGGGCATTGATAGTGAGACATCCAGAGCAATTCTATGTGAGTCTAAAAGGCACGAGAGACTCTGTGTTTCTCGTCGAAGCTTACAATGACAATGGTGATCTTCTGGAGAAAGATGAGACATTGGAGATAAGAGAACGTTTGATAGATCTTGTTCAAGAAGGAAAGAGAATTAGACGTGAACGGAGAAGAAAAGGCGCCATTCTTGGCGATCAGAGCATGGAGGAGTTTGGACACGAGGATAATAGTGATGGTGACATCAGTGATCCAGATGGTGAATATGAGGATGGGTTTGAGAATTTGTTTGATTCAGAAGTTTCAGGTGTGGAATACCATTTCGATGAAGAAGATGATGACGAGGCGCTGGTTAGTGATGAAAGTGTAGAGTATTGGAGTAGAAAACTTTCTTCTTCTTCTAGTATTAGCAGTGATGAAGGAAAGAGTATTGTTGAATCATGGTGATGGAAAATGTTAAGAGTAGAAACCCATCAACGTTTTATATTGTATACTCAGAAAACAATTACACAATAGCATGATGTTTATGTTCGTAATCTTATTCCCGTTGGGCTTTAGACAAGATCCAGAAGTGAATTTAGCGTACAAAACTGTCTGTGTGCCCTTTCTTATTTTCTCAACTGTTGTTCGAGTCTCTCAATAGCTGCACCAACACCACTCGTGACCTCGCCATGGTGGCTCGTATCTTCTTTGTTGCGTTCATTTGCTTTCTCCATGAGCTTAAGTTGTAACCAACCTGTCGAAATGATACAGTTTGCACTTAGTTTTAAGCCAATTTCAAAGCTCCCTCAGTCTCTCTCTCTCTCTCTCTCTCCTCTCATATGGTAAAAACTTGTGAGAAATGTTAATGCAAGATACAAAGTAATTACCAAGAGGGAAGCAGACTGTAGCTCCAAGAACTGAACCGAGCATCACATTCCGCGCGCGCCAAGCAAGTGACCCCGGCACTACCACATTTTGATTAGAGATAAAGATATGTTAGGACACGCAAAAGTATACATTTTGCATCTAATAAGCCATAAATCCAAAAGAGGATGCAGAGAGTGTGGTATGTATCAGTACTGATTAGGCCAAATACTGCAGCTGTAGCTGAACCAGCTCCTACGACATTGAACACATCATGAACTCCTCGCGTCTCAGCTAAAAAGTTTTGAAGACTAAAGAATGAGGCGGTGAACATTCCAAGGCGCATCCCTCCAATGAGAGAGCCACGAGTTACTCGGGTGAATCTTTTCTCCATTGCATCTCGCATCAATCTGTGTTGTTCTCGCTTATCCTGTGTACTACCCATCTTCAACATCACTTCTGCATCCTTGCTCTGTTTCAAACCACAGACACTAATTTCAGAATTGGAGATAGATTCATCAAAAGTCATAAACTTTGATGTCTAATGGGTTCAGTTCAAACAGAAGTCAATAATTTACTAGCATACACACAGATAGTGGAACCAAAACAAAAACCTCAAGGAAATTTGTACGTTTAGGCTTTAGATGAGACTAAATCATGAAGAGTATCCATAGAAAATGCATCTAAAGGAACATCCTTTGTAATTGAATGTAAACATACCACAGAAGCAGAAGCCTCTTTGCTCCCTCCATAGAGCATTCCAGCAAAAATCCCAACAACAGTTGCTGTTCCCCAGTTGGGATTTCCAGCTAATCTTGACGAATTCTGTTCCATGTAACAACAGAAATCAAACCTCAACCAAACTATAGACAATTTCATCAAATCCCTTATATGATCTAGAGTCTTAAATGACAATAAAAAAACAACGACTCGTCAAGGCCTTAACTCTAGTAAGCAACGAAAATCGAAAAGGAAAAGAAATCTCAATTAAGTGATCCCGATTCAAATGATATATTCTACGCATTTGAACAATGACTAATTTGTAGCTTTTGAAAGCGTAGAGAGAGAAAATAAAAATCTCACGCCTGGGATAGTTTCTTCGACTTTTTCTACAGCTTCCATAGATCAAACTGTATTGTCTTCACAGCAATAAAGATGAATTTCCGATCTCCCTCTCCGCCGCAATCGCTTTCTCCTTCAGTCCTTCTACAGTCCGGTAAAAGACGACCAGAACAGTTTCATTAATCGTCGGCGATAAATCTTAACCGGATTAATTTTCCCCTAACCGGATGAATTCGTTTTACCCATCGGTATAAACCAATTTGATTTTGGCTCTGCATACGACGTCGTTCCATCGTCTTCCTTTTCGCCTTATTCCTCTGCTTTGTTGTTTAGCCGCCGGGAAAATCGGTTCAGGCCAGCAGAGATAGATAGTAGCCATGGACGCAGCACATTGCTATCTGGAAGGAAACGCCGACGCCGTGGAATTTTGCACTCATGAACCTTACACGAACTTGCTTGCAGCTTCTACTTACACACTCCAAGAAGGAGATTTACCCTCTCGATCCGGGTCTGTGTATCTATTTGATGTCGGAGATGCGGAAGATGTTGGCTTAAATCTTCTCCAGAAAATTGACACCGCCGGAGTTTTCGATATCCGGTGGAGTCGCGGTGGAGACGGAGGCGGAAGCGTGGCGCTTGCTCAGGCTGATGCTGATGGATGCTTGAGAGTTTACAAGATAGATGAGACTCAAGAAAAAGGTAAGGTCTTTTTGATATTTGCTTGGAGCTTCCCTGATTCAAGTCGCTCAGTAACTAAGTGAAACAAAATTGGAACTTTAGCACAATGCAATTGTTAAAATCTCTGAAGGAAACAATCTGTTTGTTTGTTGTTAAGATGCATCTAAGTTTTGTTTTGTTTCAGCTTGTTGGCAGTCTGAGTAAAGTTTTATCCTTGAAACACAGGTAACTCTCTAAGAGAGGTCTCTGGTGAAAAAATCAGCTCAGCAATGTGTCTTTGCTTGGATTGGAATCCATCTTCAACATCAACTGTAGTGGGTCTATCAGATGGCTCTGCTTCAGTTGTTTCATTCACTGGTTCTAATCTGGAAACAGTCCAAGAATGGAAAGGGCACGATTTTGAGCTTTGGACGGCCTCGTTTGATCTCAACAATCCTAGTTTGGTCTATACTGGATCAGATGATTGCAAGTTCAGCTGTTGGGATATCAGAGATTGTCCGGCAAACAATCGGGTTTTTCAGAATTCCAAAGTTCATACAATGGGTGTTTGCTGTATTTCCCCAAGTCCAAGTGATCCCTATTCTATCTTCACTGGAAGTTATGATGAAACCCTAAGAGTTTGGGACACGAGGTCTGTTTCAAGACCTGTGAACGAAACATCATTGTCTCTAGGTGGAGGAGTGTGGAGAATCAAGCACCATCCTTCTCTGAGCGGTGTTGTTTTGGCAGCTTGTATGCACAACGGTTTTGCTGTAGCAAAGGTTAGTGATGGGAAAGGTGAAGTAATGGAGACTTATAATAAGCATGAATCTCTTGCTTATGGAGCAGATTGGAACAGAGGGAAAGATCAGAAGCGAAGCGTTGTTGCAACTTGCTCGTTCTATGATCGGCTTCTTCGGTTATGGATGCCGGAAACAGCATTTGAGCTCTGAGGTTCCTGGATCCTTTTTATTGTTGCCTAGATTGTTGAATTTCAAATTGCAATTTTTTTCAATAAGAGCTTCATGATTGGGTTTTGGTTAAATCAGCACATTAGACCTTAATTTACAGAGTTAGCCGCTCCAGTAGAATGTCAATTTCATAGTCAAAACTCTTGCTGTAACAGGTAACAACACAAAGCAATGCCCAGTGGTTCAACAGAAATAAACTCCAGCAGTTTTTACTCAAATCGGTTTCCCATTAACCAAATCCCAGCATGAACAGCACACTTTAATATTTGTGTAAAACAGAGTTAACAACGACAAGGATCTTTCTTTATTTGGTTACTTGACAATATAAACATAACACTCTTCTTCACACTTCCTTTGTCTTTTAAGACACCGGTTTCAGAGTTCCATCAAAGCTGAGCAGAGTTATTGGCGATAGCACCAGCTTCATTAAGGAGAGGCACAAGCTTGCCTTGCTTGTTACTCTCCATCACACCTGTAAACAAAAAAAAGAAGCAAAACCCAAATGATCAATTACTCCCTCGAGAGTAGGATTTGACCTGATTCTCATCAAAGGTGGAGAGAGCTTATATAGTATTTCTCTTACTATCGCATCCACCGATATGTTTTTCTTTGATGAAGACGTTTGGAACAGTGCTCTGCCCAGTCCACTCTGACAAAGCTGATTGGATCTCACCTCCATCGCCTATGAAAGATTGTAAATTTCGTATCAAGATAATTCAAATGTCGTTAGACAAGTATTGAGTTGTTAGGATATGGTTTCTTACTCATCTCATCGAGCTCAAATACTTTGAAACTTGCTCCTAGCTGTGTAAGCAACTGCTTCACCCTCTGGCAATAGCCACAGTAGGTCTTGCTGCGAAGAAAAAGGAACATAGTTCAAAGCTAAGACTTTACACTTGACGAGTAACCTTAAGACCGACTCAAAAGGTCTTTTACATTCAACGGAAACCCAAAAACAGGATATGACATAAGATGATCCAAAGGCGTCTCCGCGTCAAATGGAAGCAAAATCTCCAAAACATGGCTTCACCCAGTCGGTAAAGACTCAAGCTTTCGATAAATCAAAACCTCAGAGACAGTAACATCTCGACTCTACCAATGACTAGGAACATATGTTCACAAGACGCGAGATTTCAACGCTTATAACCTGAAGACAACGACAGGGTACGAGGAGACGATCTCTTTGACCTTGTTCATCACCACCTCCATCTCTTCCTTGTTCAATCGGTTTCCACTGAACATAGAACCCATTTCCTCTCTGACCGAAAGAGTAGTATATATCTTTGATAGGATCAAGCAGAAATCGGACACCGCAACACCTACAGATGTCTTTCGCTCGAGTTTCGTGCAACTCTTGACTTTTGCTGGCAAAACCAGGGATTGATCGAAATTCAATACTGTTTGACCCCAGAAACAAATCTTTACCAATACTTTTGTTTTATTCGATTTTATCTTCTTCTCAATAGTCATTTATGAGCTGATTTATCCGGTTTGGTTTGGGGACTGGGCTAATAATCAACCCGACCGGATTTCTAACCGGGCCCGTGTGTTTAAAGAAGAAGAAGAAGAAAATTGAAAAACAGGGGATATGAGATATTAGTAGCGTCGCGAAACCTAGACAGGTCTGTGTAAGATGGAGATTCGTTCAAATGATTAACTACCAACAACTCCTAACCTAAGCATCCATTGCTCTCACCACATATCCCAAATTAGCCTTTCTCCTCAATTTCTTCGGAAAGTCTTCAACTTTCTTCTCCACTCTTTTTTCCTACGCAGTATCAAACATCAGTTTCTCAAGGGGAAAAAAGATTCTTCTTTTGTGAAATCTGAGGAATTCAGTGTCATGTCGATTCATTCCATGTTGCTCAGCTAGGGTTTAAGTGGCAAGTACGGGCATCAACTGTGTATTTGCTTCCTTCACCGGTCATGGCTGCTAAACTTGTGTCTTCCTCGGCTTCTTCTTTGGTTCCATCCTTTTTCTCACCTTTTCATTCTCGGAGTCCCTTTCAGGTGAAATTTGTTTAGTAAATTTACCTAAATTTCCGCTCAGCCTTTAGATTTTCTTGTATGCTGCATCTGTGTCTCATGCTTCTTTTGTATATGTTTCTTGTACCGTCAATGTGGTTTGAGACGTTGAGCCAATTGTCTTATACGATTCATTTTTTCTAGCTAGGAACCTTAGTCGAGAAAACTAATATCAGTGAGTTTGAAGTGGAGTCAAGAGACAGTGTTTACAATTCTCACTTAGTTAGTTGGCACAATGCAGTCTCTCTTCCCTACATCATGCTGAGCGAAAACCAGAACTTTATCTGATTGAGATCACCATTAGATTCTGATGAAATGAAATCAAGTGTCTGTTTCATTTGTTGTTGTTGTTATTGATGTGGTTATTATCTGCTGCTTCTCGGTCTTGTGAAGGCCATGGTTATCGATATTTGCTGAATCTTACCATTTTCCAAACTCTAGTTTCGTCCATCGAGGCATCAGCCTGCTCATCTCCGTTGTTCCCATTCTCTGCACCTAAAAACTGATCAAAGTAAGTTCCTTTCTTTTCTGTTAGTTGTTTCGTATTCGGGTGTGATTTATGACTTCTGAGTAAGATTTTCTGATTGTCTTACATGAACAGTTGATTCTCTTCACATTTCCTTCAGAGGCCATAAACAAAGAGAAGTCTTCCGAAAGAGAGGTTATTTGCCTCTTGCTACCTCAGAAGAACAGTTCCCATACACTGACCAAACGCCCGACGATCCAGAAACAGAAAGTCACCAAATTGGCCCCGAAGCTACACCTCGAGATGATAGTTCTTCTCTCCAATACAATGGAAATGGCGGAAAACCAGGTTTCATTTCGTTTTACAATCCTCCGAACAAAACGAACAAAACAGAGGATATCATTGTCCCTCCCGAAGCACAAAGTACATGGGGACGCCTGCTCTGGCTCATAGGTCCTGCCGTCTTAGTTTCCTCTTTCATTTTACCTCCTGTCTACTTACGAAGAATAGTCTCAGCAGTTTTTGAAGACTCTTTGCTCACAGGTTCTTATTGCTTTATCCTTTTCGATTCACTTCTCACTTTTGCTTCCATAATTGCCATGTCATTGAAATTGTCTTCCTCTACATGCAGACTTCCTCATCTTGTTCTTCACTGAGGCTCTCTTCTACTGTGGAGTCGCCGCTTTTCTTCTGATAATACACTGTTCAAGAAAGACATCAGGAAAAGTGCCCGATAACCGAACCAATCCGTCTCAGTTAGGACAAAGAATCTCCTCTGTAGCAACATTAGTGCTTAGTCTTATGATTCCAATGGTGACAATGGGATTTGTCTGGCCATGGACTGGACCAGCAGCATCAGCTACTCTTGCACCATACCTCGTAGGTATCGTTGTTCAGTTTGCATTCGAACAGTACGCTAGATACCGGAATTCTCCATCATCTCCTACTATCCCCATCATATTTCAGGTATGTGATTCATCACTCTTTGTCATCAACGCAGCCTCTCAATTCTTTTTCTTTTTGAACACTTTTTGAATGAATATCAATCATTTTGGTTTGGTGTAGGTATACAGACTTCATCAGCTGAACAGAGCGGCGCAATTAGTAACGGCGTTGTCATTTACGGTTAAAGGAGCAGAGGCAACAGTTAATAATCTGGCAATCAAGAAGTCGCTGGGTACGCTTTTGAATGTGATACAGGTGTTAGGTGTGATTTCAATCTGGTCGATATCAAGCTTCATCATGTGGTTATCATCTCCTTCTCAAAACTAGTCTTCAAGTATGAACAGCTTTCTTGCTAGGTTACAGTCCATGTCAATTTACAGAGAAGAGAATAACAGTTCTGTATCAGTTTGAAGAAGAGAAGCAAGTCTTGACATTGTTGTCTCTTTAAGAAAGTTAGAACTGAAAGTTTGACATCGTTGTCTCTTTAAGAAAGAAATATACTAAATCATATTCTCACAAACAATATTAACAATAAATAAAATAAGTTTATGAATTCATTCATAAATCTAAAAAAATAAATTACTAAACTAAAGTCAAAAGAATTTAATCTTAAAAGTAAAATTTAATAATGAAAAATAAACACAAATCCTAATAATGGAAAACTTTAAAATCCATTAATAAAAAAGGAAAAACTTAGTATACAAAAGATTTGTTGTTCACTGGTTATAAATAGGGAAAAAGCTTAAAAAACCTTCAAGTATTTAATATTTGCCAGTTTACTACACGACCTTTTTGCGTTGCCATAAAAATACATGACTTAATTTTCTGGTCCTAATAAAATCACGACATGTTTGTTGATTCCATTTTACCTCCCCCGATTTAACAGACCTAAACGGGATTAACGTTGTCGTTAAACTGCGTTAATAATCCGTCACACGTGCTTATTAATTGACTGGAAATTACGTTTTTAAAAGTGTCGCTGCACGAAGATAATGTATATCAACTTTGAAAGTGTCGCTGCACGAAGATAAAAAATGTTAACAGTCAAACCCATTTCAACACAGAAAAAATCGAAACTATCTTCACCATTTCATCGTAGTAACAACTTATTATCAAACCCCAGCTCGATTTCCCCAGGAAATATCGAATTCCTATTCGAATTTGACCCCAATATCAACTCCCCAACAAAATTCGAATTCGGATTTTAGAAAACAAACCTCATCTTCTCGAATTACTCTGAACTATCTTCTATAACATGAGATGAACTGTTTTCCCAAATCGATTTGGGAATTTTGTTAGGGCAACAGTGGAAATATCCCAAATCGATTTTGAAGACTTCTGTGAGGATAAAAACGTAATTTCCAGTCAATTAATAAGCACGTGTGACGGATTATTAACGCAGTTTAACGACAACGTTAATTCCGTTTAGGTCTGTTAAATCGGGGGAGGTAAAATGGAATCAACAAACATGTCGTGGTTTTATTAGGACCAGAAAATTAAGTCATGTATTTTTATGGCAACGCAAAAAGATCGTGTAATAAACTGGCAAATATTAAATACTTGAGGGTTTTTTAAGTTTTTTTTCCCGTTATAAATATCACAATATAAAGATATTTAGTGACTCTATATAAAAAAAAAAAACAATCAGAATTCGCTCATAAACTTGGAGGAAGGAAGGACCGGAAGAGAAAAAGAAAAAGACAAGCTTTTTGAGTTAGGATGTCGAATTCAGCTGCCGAGGAGTCACCGCATAAAAAAAGGAAGACTTGTCCGGCTCCGTCTCCGATATGGTTGCTACCAGAAGAGATGGTTCTAAGCTGCATCTCTCGAGTGTCGAGATCAGACCAGGCGGCCTTATCTCTGGTCTCGAGGAGCTATCGCTTTCTAGTGGCTTCACCGCAGGATGCGATCGCAACTTGGTTGCACCGAGAATTGCCTCTATGTATGCATACTCAGCCCTCCGGACCCAACCCCACGCTGGTACATACTCCGCCGTGAGAATCCTTCTTCGGATGTGTTGTAAGAAAGGTTCTCGGTGAGAGCAATCCCGATTCCGTCATTCCCCTCTCATGCTAAGGCTCCGGAAGGATCCTCCGTGGTGGCGCTGGACTGGGGGATCTATGTAATTGGTGGATTGATAGAGGGGAAATACGGCTCATCGGATGTGTTTCATTTGGATTGTAAGACTCACACGTGGCGCCAAGTCCCTTCCATGGGAGTGGGCCGGGTTTCTGCGGCTGTTGGAGTCGTAGGCGGGAAGATTTACGTGTTCAGAGGCTGCTGGGACGATGACTCCTCAAAATGGGCAGAGGTATATGACCCAAAGACCCAAACTTGGGATGCTTTGCCAGCAATTTAGGATAACAAGACACGCTATGAGTTAATCCACGACAGTGTGGTCGTCAAGGAGGAAAAAGTTTATGCAGTGGATCTTATGGAAAGAAGCTTGTACTACTCGCCGAGTGAAAGTAAATGGGGAAGAGGGAATCATAGTCAAGTGCGAGGAAAGAGAAGGGATTGGTGTGTGATTGATAACATTATCTACTCTTGTGATTGTCTTGGGGACTTGTGTTGGTGTGAGCAAAACCAGTTGTTGGAGTGCTCTGAACCTGAACCTGAACGAGAGGGGATGTATTGGAAGAAGGTGCAGGGTTTGGGATCTCTCAAGCAGAGTCTCTCTAGCTCCAGATTGGTCCACTTTGATGGCAGGTATGAGGCTCTGTGGGAGGCCCGTAAAATCGGGTTTGGTAGCGACCACAAACTGATAGATTTACTTCCTGGAGCCAGACTCTGCAAATTTGGTTCTAACCTTGTGCTCTTTTGGGATGTCATCGAGGGGGATCGTTTTGAGATTTGGTGTGCAGAGATTTCCTTGGAGAGACGCCAAGGAGCCGAGATTTGGGGCTACATTGAGTGGTCTCATCCTGTCATGACCGTTGAACCTTTCTTACATCGCCGCTACAAGGTTTTGCATTCAGTTTCTGTCACTCTCTGAACTCTCGCATCGTCCTTTTTTTTTCAAATTGTTATCATGCGTCCTTCTCTCTTATGTTACATCAGTGAATCCAATAAGTTAAGTTACTCTTCTGCTGTTTGGTCTTCGACACACACACACATTAGATAGAGGAGTCCTTAGTTATCAAACGAGGACAAAAGAAAACTACAACTTAGAATGAATTACATAAACGCCATTTTCCTATGAACCAATCTCTCTGTTCCAAGTTTCAATAAGTCAACAATGAGTTTTATATTGTGTAGAGCCATAAAGATATAGAAAAAAAACTAGAAGATCCAAACAGTCTAAATAGGGATAATATTGATTAGATCGAAATTGTATCTGATTGTATATATATAGTATAAACTATAGAAACGATGAAACTAGTCACAGTTTGGTGGGTTTGTACATTTATATACAGCAGAGGTGTATATTATATTAGATTTCGATCTTATAAATATTAGAGATGGATTCAATTTACACACAAAATCAATACTTCCATTATATTAGATGTAGTTACAAAGTGCGGGACAGTTTATATATATAAACCAAAACAGCAAAACCGAATCCATTATTAAAATAAAGTAATAAGGAAAAATAATTAGAAATTTGTTTGGATATCGAAGAAAATGTATGCCATTAAGATAAAAAATCGATTTCAATATTACTGAGAATAGATATTGAAAAACGATCTTTTACGCACCGAAGGGTCAAATATTAAAATGGCACTTGAAAGTTAATATGTGCAAAAGATGGCCGCTCTGCCTACGAAAACGACATGGCATGCGGATGGAAGATTTTTGCACATCATATATTATCCAAAATTTTTGAAACAAAATTATGCTCGTGGATTCATACATACATTAGTGTACAATATGAGAAGAAAATGAAAGATAATGTCTTCTCATACTATCTTAACAGGTGAAATACATAAAATCTACACAATAAGAAAGACACAATAGACTGAAAAATACTACAAATATTGAATAGAATGTTAGAAAGACACAATAAATTTGTGACTTTTACTAGCCCAAGAACTGGATCTGTTATGAATGACGACCAACTACTCGATGAAAATTATCATACGAGAAAACAGCACCAACATATAATGGATACTTATAAACTAGCAACAAATATGTATATGGAGTTCAAGAATAGATAAACTAAAACGAAAGAGAAACAAAAAATATTGGAATAAACTTGGAATACAAAGATAGAGGAGACACAAGGGAGGCTTCTAAAGTTATGTGAGAATATGCAAAGGAGGTTGGGTTTTATAGAAGGCTTCCAAATTAGGTCAATGGAGGAAGATATGAGTCGGTGGGAATAAAATTATATATATGGAAATAAACATAAAAGGGTTGTTCAGAAAAATAACATAAATAGGAGGAAATAATAGAAAAAGGGAAATTTTTTTAAAAAAAGGAAGGAAATCTTTCTGGTCAGCGGGCAGGTGGCGTCTTCAAAGAGGGTGGGATGTTTCGGGCAGCTGCCCGGCGAATTAAACAATTTAGCAACTTGTCTGAACAAGGCAGCCCGCCTCGAGACTTCCACTTGATGTTCCCGGTGCAACTTGGTTAACTAATCTAATTTTCTTTTAGGTTTTGGGTTTTGCTTTAAAAGCAAAAATCAGAAACCAAATACAAAATTCGGCTTGGCTTGGTGTATCTCTCAAACTTAGAAGAATATACATGTGACCAAAAAGAAAGAAAGAATAATATACAAGTTTTGTAAGTTTTACGAAAGTAAATTTGTAACGGTTTAGGATAAAAGGTTATTCATTGAATTAGAAAAACAAAACGTTATTAATTAGAATTATTGTTTTTTCAATCAAAGCCATGTATATGTGTGTTAGCCAGTTGTATAGTACTATAGTGTATCAGATTACTAGTGGATTAGTATTTTTTAAACTTTTATATGTGTCTTATCTGTTGAACAAAAAAACTTCGGGATCAATTTGTTTTAAATATAAAGTTATTTTACTATTCTTATATAACTTTGAAATAGTGTTAGCCGTTAGGCTTTATACCCATCAAAAACTATGGTGAATGGACTATCCGATAATTATGTTTACCTAGAAAAGTTAGTTGGATGGTAAAATTAGACCATTCGTAATTATCAGAAGAAAGAAAAATCCTAACCTAGTTGCAACAGATAATCGAAATGGACAACGTTAATTGTAATATTTCCATGTACCCGTTTGATTATTCTCTAATATGTCATTTTTGGTTTATTAATTTTTCTTTTCATTGCTATGATGAATCGTGGCCTACTAAAAGCACATATTCCTTCTGGCCGCTGAATGTGAGATTGATTTGGACTATGCAAAAATATATGGAACATGGGATATAGAAATAACTCAACATTCTAAAAACATATAATTGGCTTGCTAGATTCTCTAGTACGAAGAAATAAAATAACAAAATTTACATACATGTTAGCGAGTAACGTTGTTGGTAAATAAGTGTCATATGAATCCATTTTTCTTTTTTTCTATATGAGTATCGTGATCTTTACAAATTTCATATTAATGTACTCAATATATCTCTAGTGTGTCTATGCAAATCTTCAATTGATCGCTAAGAAGTCAGATGTAAAAGAAAAAAGGAACTCTTGTTATAATCTTTTTTTTTTTACAAATAAAACAAGGTGGTATAGATTTTTTTTTTCTCTACCATCCGCATTAAATATCAACTATTTGATATATTACATGATTAATATTTAGGATCAGAAATAAGAAAATTTTATCGACCATGCATACAAACAAGAATCAACTCGCTTTCTTTCCAAAACTTCTAGGAGAGTCATACAGAAGAAAATGAATATGTCAATTTATCAATATTGGACGTGATGAATCAAATGACACATACAATCATGATTGTGGTAAATATATCTCACAACTATGAACTATAGCAAGTAGCAACTGAAAAAGTATAACCTCGATTTGGTAACATCATAACAACATCCTCAGCTTTGGGTTAAAGACCACTTTATCAGACTCTTATCAACAAATAACTAGCTTTGGTCTATCTTAAAAATGAATTAATATGTACTACTTTATACAGCCCTCCTTTATGCTAAATCAAACTTTCGATACCATACAGAAAAACTTACTAATAACAAGTAATTTAATGATTTGGCGTTACAAATTAGGGTGTGACAATAGACATTAACTCGTTACGTATCACTCATATAAAATGTGTTCCTCTTTACACAACACTCATAGAGATTTGAATCGGGCCAATGATTTCAGCTCGTTAGATCATTGAATGAAACTTTGTTTCATCAAAAGCAACCATTTGTTTCCATGTTCGAATTTTATTTGGAATTAGTTTGAGATGAGATCGATAATAAAATTAACAAAATAAAAATAAACAAAACAATTCCGCCATTTCGCAAAGTTACCAATTACCAATCAAAGCCATAGTAGTATACGTTTCTTCACGTGGGATAAACGCAAAATTTCTTGTAAAACGACGTCGCTTAAACGGTGTTGGTATAAAAACCCTTTCATTAACCGCTTGCCTGCTGCAATCTTCTCTCCTATCTCTTCCAATCCCTCTCTATCTATCCGCTTCCCCTTTCTCTCCTTCGCTGTTAAATTTTCAATCTTTCTCGTTGCTTTTCGATTTCAAGCTCGAATTTTTCACTAAGGTTCCTCCCCTTTCTCCGACAAATTCTACTCACGGACGAACAAACCAGAAGACAACGAGCTCATGATTGAGGTCGGTTCTTTTGCTCTTTCCCATTCAATTTCCACGCAACCATATTCTAATTTGAAATCCCATTTTGAGGTTTTTGGGCACTTTTTCTCGGGCAATACAAAAACCAAAGATTTTCCCGGTTTCTTGTTGTTGCTCTAGATTAATAGTTTAGTGTATTTTAATCTGGGTTGGGGAATTGGTTGCTGAAGAAGAATTTTGGTAGCTAGGAGGATGAAAATTTTGGAATTTCTATGAATTTTTGAGCTCGCAAAACGAACTCGTCTAAGTTTGCATTTTGCTCAGCTTTGTTCCTGCCAAGTAGTTTGGTGTGATTGTCTTTTGTAATTACATTTTAATGTTTAATGATCGCTACTTGCGATTTCATCATTTTGGAGGCCTTTGAATTGAATCCACTCTCCGGATAATTTCTTGGAATTTGCCTTCATGTTGTTTGCCTATCCAATCTTGGTTTTCATATCATTGCTACGTACGCGGTAGTGTTTAACCTTCTTCGAATATGGGAATACCGATAGGTCTTATGAGCTCAGATTTTATTTAAATCCGCAACTAGGAGAGTTTTTTTCTGTGATACTGTTTGATGCGAGAGAAAAATTTACCACGGGGGTGATGGATACATTAACGGGATTATGTTTATTTATACATGTGAGAGAAGAGCAAGATGTATCTTATATCATTGATTCCAAGTTCTGCACACTTTGGAATTTTTCAGTCTTGAGTAACTAAGAGTGGTTTGTGTGTAAATGATGGACAGATTGTGACCTTTGTGTAAATGATTCACTGCTCATCTGGAGACAATGGTGTTGGTAACCCACAAATTGCAGGTATCTTCGAATATGCAATCTTAGAAGTCCTAAGTTTCGCATGATATCTTTCATATGTCTACAAATGATTCTCCTAGTATTAATCTGTGTACACATTAACGCCTCGTTCATATTTTTAATGTTGTACCTCCCACATCACTCTTGTAAGGCCCTTTTTATGTTCTCTCATGTAGGGTTCACATGTCTTGTTTCCTTGGAGTTCACCAACATGGACCAAAGGCTTGATTATTAAGAGACCTGTTCCGACAGTGCATTTTGTTGGGAGGAAAGAAAAGCATTTACGATTGAAGCAAAATTGTTGTTTCAGGTGAGAGTCTCACTTCTTAAGTGCCTACTTATTTCCTTCGTTTGGACATTTACAGAATAGGGTGTTGCTTAGTTTGAGACTCACGACTTTCTCATTACTTTAGGAAGGTAGAGACTTAGTTACATTGTGGATTAAAACTATAATTGTTAGTTAAAGAAATCCTTTTTAGATACAGAGAAATGGTTTACTGCATATCATCTGATGAACTCTTCAATAGGCTGATGATCATTAAGAGATATGTAGATACTTAAATAGTTTTCATTTATATTGCGCTTGGCAGTAGATAGTCGGAATCATGAAATTCAGTGGAATGGTTTTGCAGTTTAGGGTCCCCTTGCAGTGGTGGGTTGAAAGCAAAATCTTTCAGAGTTACATCTTTCAAAGGCGGCATCAAAAATAGTGAGTCAGGAGGAAGTGAAGGTGGGAAGAAAGTTACTAATAACTCAGTCAAACTATCTTACCGTTCAGATGATGACGAAAATAATGTGAACGGCTCTCCAAAAGCACAAAACACATCGCTTTCATATACCTCGGAAACAGAGGATATCACAGGACAACCCGCTATTCAGAAGCTATTCAAGAAATGGTTAGCACTGTTGCGCACACAGTCACCTATTCAAGTGATTGACGAGGCTTTGGGAGGAGAACATGTTCCAGAAACGACAAAGCCAGAAATTGAAACAGATATCCGGAAAACAGAAAGCCTTCAGAGTACAAAAAATACAGTATGGTCCTGGTTTTGGAGTCTGGATGCTGCTATCAAGATTCCATTGCTGTTATTGTAAGTATATACATCTTTTTCTTTTGTTCGATTGGGTGATCTAGAGTTAATTATCCTTAAACGCACACCAATTTAACAAGGAAAATCAACTAAGTGAAAACTGCCCTTAGGAAGATTCAAAAGTGTCACAACGTTTTTCTTTTCCAAGTTCCTTCTATGTATTAATCATACCATTACCTTGACCATTTTGCAGTGTTCCAGCTTTCTTAGCTGTCAACGCAATTTATGGTGCTGAGGTTACAAAGGAGTTATCCCCTTTGTGGATGGCTGGTCCCTTGATCGTCGCCCTTTATATCAAAATGTTCCAAGGACTATGTGCCCTTTACGCCTTCTGCTTCAACCAAACTATCAAAATGATAAGAAACGTACCATCTTATTACCTTGTAGCATACCATTACATTTCCCATGGCAAGCTCAGAGATGACATGAGAGCTCTAGTGACTCGACCAGTGGCGGCCATCAAGAACACTGATTACAGAGAGCTCAGTCGCACCAAACTGAAACAGTTCCAAGAATGGATCATTGAGAAGTACTTGGATTTTGTTGAATCTATATGGCCTTATTACTGCAGAACTATAAGATTCCTGAAGAGGGCTAACCTGATTTGAAGCTCGTCGACATGGAACCGTTCAGATTCTGACTTCTCAGGGCTTCTCGATGATCTGTTTTTTTATTTCTTTTCCTTCTCTGTGCTTTCTTGATGTCTTTGCTTTTACCTTTTTTGATTCTTAATTTTAGAAAGGCTTTTCATGTTGATGATGTTGTCTCCATGTATACTGTACCCTTTTTGAGGTTTTACAATGAGTTCTCTTACTATTAAGGTTTCACTTTAATCCATAGTTTAAATATCTATACACACTTATATAGTCATGTCATATTTAGAGAGACAACAACAGAAGAAGACACTAGTGTTTTAAAGTTCTCCTATAACCTCTTTAGCTTCCGAAAGTTGACGGTAATGTTTCCTCGGTGAAATACTCCTTTCTCACGGTCTCTACTGAACAAAACTTAACCTTCACAATAAAACAACAACCAATTAAAGTTTCAAATCATCTCATGCCCTGACTTGTGCCAGTTAAGTATAACAGACTATGCGAACAAATCCGTCAATTAAACATATGGTCAGGACATAAGCTTAACCGCAGATAACCACCCTATGAGATGAAAAATAAACTAGTAATCCCGATACAACAGCGATCTTGAGGATAGTAACTAGCAATGATGCATAAAAACTTAGTAATTTGGAAGGGAAGTTACCAGAGAGGCATATGACTTCACCACCGGTTTGGTGAATTGCCAAATTGGCTGGAATATGAATGGAGCATCTACGAAAAGCACTTCATCCAATCGGCTTGGATAGTAGTAGTAAAATACGTCAAACTGCAAAATAAAAACGATGAAAAATACCAACAATAAGATCAAAGTCTTGTCTTTTTTTTTTCAAGTCACTAGATACCAAACCAGTGAAATTTTAAGAAGATATAAATACCAGAAAAGTCAAGAACTTAAGATCTGCGTTCTGAGATCCGAACCCACGGAGATCAAATATCCCAAGTATCTTGTGTTGTCCTGCTGGTAGCTTACTTAAAGCCTTTTCAAGTAAGAAGACACAAAGCTTTTCATCTTCTATTGGATCAAGCAGCTGCAAAACGTCAGATATGTCATAAATCTTCATCTACTGTAAAACTGCATTAAAAAAATGGTGTCTAACTTGCCCCGGGGATGTGCTTTGCGGGAGCTACAATGACCACTGGTCGACCTTTTACATCTAGAAAACAATGGACATAGGCTTTTCCCGTATCAGCTGCAGGTTTGACAGAATCTTCAGATAGTTCATGTACCTTGAACTCGTGACGCCATTTCTAATGCTTTTAAGTAAGGAGCACGAAGGAATCAACATGATCATGTTAGCAAAACACAAGCAAACGATGATTTGATTCTACAGGGTTCTGCACAAAAGTGATTTCTATTAACTATAAGAGACATAATCATCTTGTTGGCAACCTTTCAAGACTATAGAGTGATTGAATGATAATAATAATAATACAAAGGAAGAGGATACGATAGCTTTGGTTAGCTTTCCAATAGCTTCATCAACTGAGAATCTCCGATCTTTCAAAAACCAGAGGATCATTTCCTCATCATCTCTTCCGTTTTTGCCAATTGGGAGACTGGTACAATCTTTTGCAAGCCGTTCTTTTACTTCCAAAACTAGCTGCAACACAAGTTGAACAACTCGCATTTTCATTACATGTAACATAATCCTCTCAGAATACATGTAAACGGTCAATATTCTAAAAACCCAATTTGCATAACATCACATTTCCAGGAATCTGAAACACAGAATTTTTTTACGTGGTTAATCTTGAAATGTAGCTAATAGTGAGCAAGAAAGAGACCAAAGAGAAGTAGTCGCCGAGTTTTCCAAAGTTAACGGTTCAAGGGATATTGGAGCGCAAGAACCCAAATTCTCAGACAAAACAAGCAAAAGATTATTTTTTTCCTTAGACAGAGTTTCTAATGCCAACAATTGAGGAAAGAAAACAGAGGATATCTTGCTCCCGCTATAATCAGTCAACGCACAAAAGCAAAAAGGCATATAACAAGAAACCTATTGCGTAACAAAATTAAAACAAGTAACGCCTTCATAAATATTCATCCAATTTCCATGATTCTCTCTCTCTTTGCTAAAAGATAAAAAATACCTTTTGCGCATTGTGAGAATCAGACACGCAACTACGGACGGAGAATCTGCAGTTCCGAGATCGATTACTGTACAGATTCTTCGAGTTTTTGAAATTGACTGAAGCAGCAATGAGGCTTGAGCTCAAACGAATGGACATTGTTGAAAAAAAAAACCCGTAAACCCAGGAAAAAAAATCGAAACTTTTCTCTTGTAGTTGATTCTCAGAAATTTGATCGATGAGAGATTACAAGAAATTCAGAAAATTTAAGAAGATGGGCTTTGTTAACCACAGAAGACGAGTTTGGGTGGTGAATTGTCCAATTTGGAATTTGGAAATTTCCGATATGATAGATACAGAAGCAGAAGAGAGCCAAATGGTTTCGCTTCTCCCTTTTTATAGACACACTCACTTCTTTATACATATTTGGACGGGTACGGGAACTTCGTCTGGATTAGGCTCCGGTTCAGTCTCGGATCTGGTTTAACTTCTGGATTGACTATACCGAACTCTAGAGTCATAGTATTACTTTAAATTTCACTCAACTAATAAATTTTATTCTTTAAAAAAAAAAAACCTTCATAATACACAGACAGTATACCTGCATTATATATATATATATGTATGTATATTTATTCAATAATTTAACATCAACTTTTAGATTTATGTCACGTCCATAATTCCATATGCATTTTGTAGAGTCCAAGTACAGTTTAATTAACACCTTACAAAAAAGTGGCTTGTCATTAACAACTTATGCATTTTGTAGAGTCCAAAAAAAGTTTAAAACAGCTCACAAATAAATGGGTCTCATCATAGTAATTAACAACTTATCTGCTATAAGATCAAATGTTAACCAATTTTGTAAAGCTTTGTAATGGAATCAACCGGTCAGAGTGATCATGATTGAGTGTTACCAGACTCGAAAAATAATTGTGTGCGTCAATGAAGGAAAATATATACTCGGAAATTACTATTTGATTTCAAATAAAAACGTGTCATTATTATATATAAGAACATATGATAAAATGTTATTTCATTCTATTTACTTTAATTGGATAAATTATATGTAGGACATTGACCATGCAACCTTTTATTGCTATTAGATCTAATTTTTCTTGATAACAAACAATTACATTTTTCTATATAAAGAACTTTCCATATGCATTTTGTAGAGATCTTGGAGGAAACCTTGAAATATAATACAGTTCTGTCAGTTTTATTGATAACTTGCTAACAAATTCTTTACATGTTGATAATAGGAAGCCTACCTATTTAGTTATAAGAGAATATACACAAATATTAACATCCATTTTAACTCGATCTCTTGAGATCTCCTAACAGATATAAAGTCAATATTCAACACTACACGTAAATATGGCTTGGCATAAATAGAGCCCCTAATAATTACATGGATTTGACAGAAAGAAGACCTATGTCATTTCATCGATCTTTATATATAGAGAGGGATGATCCATTGAATTTGAATATATACATATAACTTTTAAAGCCAAAGAAAAACATTAAGAAGAGAAAGATGGAGAACCAGTGGAGAGTTGTAATGATTTTGGTTTTGGTGGTAATGAGTGCCATTGGAGGAGAAGCAGGTATCAAATGTGAAATAAAATGTGCACTCAAATGCATAAGTCCGAAGAACCAACATGCGTGCTACGCCCGGTGTGTGACGTTCGAATGCAAGCATCCACCTGCAAGTACCTTTCACTCAACTTCACACTCGCGGTAATTCCATTAATTCTCTCTCTCTCTCTCTCTCTCTCTCTCTCTCTCTCTCGCTCTCACTCTCTA